TCTTGTCTTCAACAATAAACTTTTCACCATCCTATGTCCTGTAACACACAAGTTTTATACTGTACTGTATACCAATACTGTACTGTATGCAGCAAAATTAAATCAACTATGATTTCCACTTAAACAATGTTTTCATTTACTGTACAGATACTGCTCAGATTTTCCAAATCAAGTGGCAACTCAAAAGATCTTTTGACACAGACTTTTAACAATTTGTAATTGAAATATAACAAGAATCTTTATATGATAATACAGTACTGTCTCAGGTTCTGGGATATAATTTATTTCCAATTTGATGTTATTTACTATAAGACATTATACAATATTCTTACATAGAAGCTGATTTAACAAAGCAGCAAATTTCTTATTGCAATTTCACTGCATACGTTTCAATATTTTCCAGTCAGCAGTTAATACATATATATATATATAACTGTCACTCACAACTCAATCAAAATATATATCAAGACATGTCACTCTTTCCCATAAAAACTTCCAAACTTCCTCGCTCTACAAGTCTACTTGCCCCTCAGTTCTCCTACCATCCCTGCCACTCACTAGTAAGTCTTCTGACAACTAATCACTCTTTCATTCATATCACTGATCAAAACTACTTCACAGTTGTAACCTAATCATTTCCAAGTTTCAAATTAACTTTGGAAATCTTCATTAACACCATGTTCTTCATATGACACTAACACAATACAGTGCTGTATTCTTTCAGAAATCCAATTTAGCTGCTAGTACAGTAGAAGAGCCTCTCTAGTTCACTAATGGTATTATACTTCACATAACAGCAGTAGTTCACATCAGTTCACTCTTGAGCCAACCTGTGTTAAGTTAAACCAAAAATTTTAAACAGTATAGCCTGGATTTCCCAACAAAATTTAATATTAAATAAAAAATACTCCAAACATTAGTCAAAATATTAAAACAAGAACTTAAAGTGGCACTAACCATCTTGAAGTTTGCCAAAAAGATGAAGAAGTTGTGAATAATATCCTCTTCCAAAGCCTCGTCATCACCCAGCTACTGTGAGTGTACATCGCTAAGTATGCTAAAATATGGTGGACCAGCCTCCATATATTAATTTCAAAAGGATTTTTATATATATAACCTGTAAAAGGAATACCACTTAGCACAATAGATGTGTTCCTGAGGTATGTACAATCGGAGACAAAAGTTGGCTCCCCGTGGTGAAACTGAGTCATGAGGATGAGTCTCCGAACTGACTTACCCTGACTGTTTCATCTCATTTGGGGTCGATGCTGCTTCATTTGGGGTGGGAATGAACTTTTGACCCTGACTGTACACCATATGAAAACTTATGCAAATTTCCTAGACTTGCCAGGCAACCTCAGTTACCATTAGGTTCTACATATTTTGCCTTTTATACTTCTAAACACAGGTATCCCTCGAGATACAAATGGGTTAGGTCCCCCCCCCCCAAAAAAAAACATTCATTAGGTGAATTTACATATTATGAATAAAAGAACATATGATACAAATACTGTACTCCAATACCATACCCCCCAAAACAGGAAATCAGTTCATAAACAAGAACAAATCTAACTATGATAAATAGAACTGTACTTGTAGAAAACTATTTCACCAGTGAGATGGTTGATGGGTAGGAGGTAAAATGGAGTGACAGTGTAACGCCTCAATCTCACCCTTCTCCTCAACCGCCTGACTCTCCTTGTCACTGTTCTCCACAACAAATGCATGTTTCCTCACTTAATAGTAACTATCTTCAGATAAAGGGCTCACATCTTCATCATGATCATCATATGAAACTCTGTATTTTTGGGGAATTAGGAAGTGGAGGGTCATCATCACTGCGGTCGTGGTGGTGGTGGATGTCCATTGGTCTAACATGTTTATCTTTGGCATCAAAGCAATTACTGACCACCTGTTTTCTTTTTTAATTTGGGACACAAAAAATATAGGAATTCATTTGCCTGGCAGTCACTATAATGCTTGAGACTGTGGGTTCTCATGCACTCTTTAAAGAACACACATAAAATCAAGGTCCTCTAACTTTTAATTTTTATTTGTTCTATGATTAAATTAAGTAATGTTAAAAATATAACAGCACAAATGTTTCCACTCTCGGTGACCAGTGAGGTGACTGGAAATTATATCAGCAATGTATACTATGCCTTCGGTACAGAAGCAGGTAAACTAAATTTCAGGAAATGGACCTGTGTGTTCATCACTTAACAGCAAATATTTACAATGTACAGCTACTCCCCGACTTACAACCTACTCGACTTACGACCACTCGGACATACGCCCGCCTCAGTTGTACCAAAATTTTGTCAAATTACATATTTTCGAGTCCCAACGTCAGTGATTGCGCTGTGTACTGACAAAATTTTCGTTTGTAATTCACTTAAAAATGGCTGGCAAGCTTAAAAGTGAGAGTTTTGTGGTGCTGAGAAGAAAAAGAGATGCCCATATTAGATTTTCTATGTACAGCTTACTGTATTATTTAAGCATTTTCGACTTACGACCATTTCGACTTACGACCTGGATTTGGGTCCCTAACCCCGTCGTAAGTCGAGCAGCAGCTGTCCAGTACAGGGTATTTTGTACAGATTTGCACAGATTTCCAGCTTTACAGATACTCTTCCGTAAGTCCTATTTAAAATGACTGCCAAGTAATTCCTGGGCTGAGCAGGGATATTTCCAACCCTACCCCACCTGTGAGCTGTATGTTGTGTTATGGTTATTTTTTTAACTCTCAATTTTGGTTACATACATACACAATAAATACAGGCAAGGTAAAAATTATCCAAAATGCTTGGGGCTGAAAGGGTCTCGGATTTTGGAATACTGTATCTATATCCTACACAGTATACCTATATAATGCGGTAGCTCACCCAGTGTGGATGGAGCCCAAGTCTATGCACAAAATTTATTTATATTTCATTTACACCATATACAGTAGCGGTCAAAATTTAAGGCCATGTGGTACAACAAGATTAAACATGAACAAGCATGAAAAAATTTTACTCACCTCCTACTTAGTACTTGGTTGGGCATCCTTTTGCTTTGATACAGGCTTGAAGTCTCTTGGGAGCTGATAAGAGCCAGATGCTGCAGCCAGTCAGGGTCCAAAATGTCCCACACCTCACAGAAGGTAGCCTCCAATTTGGGGATGCTTGAGGTATCCTTCTGCCGTATCTTGTGCTTCATCAATTCCCTGAGGTTCTCAATAGGATTGAGGTCAGGGGAATTACCTGGCCAATCCTTTATGTAGTCAATTCCACAGAAATCAAGCCACCCAGTCACTGGTTTTGCTGTATGGCAGGGTGCTCCATCCTGCATGAACACCTAGGCACAACACTTGTCAAAGGAGTCAGGTAAATGATCCAGCAATAACTCTAAATAGTGTTCGTTGTTCACAGTTTGATTACGTGGTAGTATCACAAGTTTACCAGCACCGTAGAAACTAAAAGAACCCCACACCATGAGAGAATTTGGGAACTTCACTGTTGCCTGGATAAATTTTGGGTCACAAGAATCACTGCCCAGTCGCCTGTAAACTTTTCCCTTCCTATTACTAGTTGCTTCATCCGACCGTAACACCATTTTCCATTTTTCAATATACCACTCTTGATATTTCTCACAGTAGGCAAGTCTGTTCTTACGTTGTGACAGGATTACAAGAGGTTTCTTCCGGGGCATTAACTTCTTAAATTTCAGGTCTTCATAGAGTCGCTGGCGTACAGTCTGTTCCGAGACATTCCCCAGCAAATGTGGATTCTGTTCCTTCAGCTGACGTGCAGAAAACCTTGGATTAGCATCCACTTGGCGTCTAATAACCCTGAGAGTGCGTGACAAGTTAACGCGTGGGCGTCCAGTGTGCTTGCCTCAGACGAGGTCTTCAACGCCACCCCCGTCGATAAAACACTTTACATACCACTGAACAGACCTCAGTGGTACTCCAGTTATCCAGCATGACCACACCACTTGCCACAGAGGCCGGGTGGCAACTAACGGCCACCTGTTGCTATGCCCTGGAGGCCCCTACCCGTCCCCAGCTGCTCGAGGCATGCCGTATAAATTGGCCGAAAATGAACGATGTTTAGTGGGTATAACTGATTTCGGTAAAAATTTAAGACGTGGGCCCTCTCATGCCTTAATTTTTTACCGCTACTGTAGATACATAAAGCCTGCAGGTAGTTTTATGAAATTGTTTTAATCATTATGTGTATGAAATACATGATAAGATGTACACCTTAGAATCAGAAAGGTAAACAATTATTACCGTCTGTTTGGCATCGCCATGACGCCTGACTCTGAGGGGCTAAGCAGCCTGTGTCTTACCTTTATTCATTATGCATACATACTGTACATACATACATACATACATACATACATACATACATACATACATACATACATACATACATACATACATACATACACACATACATACATACATACTTAACCTAGTACATGGATGTGGCACCCCAATATTTTGGGTATAAGGTACTAAACATTGCACCACAGAGTATCAAGGGCACTAGAATTAATATTTAGTGACCACCTGGTAAAATTTGATTCCCAGGGTACTGACCCAGTAGTACCCAACAACCTCCCCTATTTATGTCAGACCACTATATGCAGAACGTCTCCACTTTTACGGTAAAAGTGCCGTAGACTATTTAATTATGGGGGTAAGTGTACAGTACTTTGTGTACATTACTTTTTTTAATTAATTCTTATTAAAAAACATGTACAGTGGGGTATGCTATAACGAACGGATCCTACTACGAATATTCCTATAACGAACGGTTTTACATATAAAATTGAGAATGCTATAACGAACAAAACTCCTACAACGAACATTATTTAATTTTTTTTTTTTTTTCTAATTTATTGTTTTTTTATTACAAATATTAATGATATTTTTTATTTCAGGGGTTTAGATGCATATTTATGCACTTTTTTACAATTTTTACAATTTTATATTATATTTTTCAGTGTTAAGTGGTTGTATTTGGGGGCCTGGAACGGATTAATCCTATAACGAACGAATGCTATAACGAACAAGGTTCTAGAACCAATTAGATTCGTTATAGCATACCCCACTGTATTTCTTTCATAAAAATTAGATAAATTGGTGTTGTACTCTTTTTTTTTTTTAAATAGAGGTCTCTTTTGACAAATTTGCTCCAAGGCGGACAACCTCTTATCCCGGACACCCCTTCCCCTCAATTAGTCTGCCTCAGCGAGGTTTTACTGCATACTGTATACCATACTATCTGATTCAGACAAAGAAACTTTCACAGACAATAATAAGATGTAAACTTCATAATTTCACCTTCAAGGAGGCAGAAGATGAGTCTTCCATATTCTTTAAGATGATCTAACTAGATTGATGTCTCAGGTGAAAATTAACAACATAATCTGCATTAGCACGCTGGACAGAGATGGTAAACGGATCTGCAGGATGGAATGTGAATGCCACAAGTCTTCGTGTACCTGATGAAGGAACAGTGGCTCCTGGAACACCAACTCGTTCTGCATTGATGCTGAACTTGATGAGACCTGAATCACGCCCATAAAATCTGTGATGAAATGTTGCAACATCAACAAAAAGTCAGTTGGTCAAATAAACACTTAGATTAAAAGCTCCTAACTACATATAAAATTTTCATAGAACAGTTATTATAGAATCTTCTCCGCACATAACGATCAATGAAAATCTTCATATCTATACAATTGTGTGCCTCACCTAAACATATGTACAGAATTGTTATTTAAATCACCCACAAAATATCCTTTAATTAGATCCAAATAGTACCTTGTTATTGGATAAATTAAAAAAAATTGCAATTTTTTTTTACTGAATTTACACAACTTTTATCTAGTAATCCACGTGGTATCTAAAGTAAATGAGAAAATCCGGACATCAGGCAACCAGCTGAGTGACCTTATGGCATGGTCACCCATATTATTTAGGTTCATTTGGTACTAGGCTAATAAAGCATTATCATAGCATAATGAATTTAAAATAATAATAATAATGAGTTTTTGTGTGGCATTAAACTCCTGGTTCTTTATTGACATAGTGCAGTCACAACAAGCCTGGTGCTTGCCTATCTATGTTGGTGTACTTTATTGGCATAACCCACACAAAATAATGAGAAGGGAAGGAGCTGTTAATTTAATATAGAACTACTTTTTGTACATTGTCTATGTGTTACTATATAGTAATATCTCTGTTAGCCGGAACTCTCCAATACCCGGAATTGAAATTGGCTCAAAATTTTTCCGGAAAAATTCTCTCAATTCCGAGTCTGTGAATGAGTTTCCGAGGTTGAAAATCAGGCGTACTTTCTGATAAAATTCCGAGAAGGTTCCAAGAAAATCTCTCCAATCACTTCTCCCACAACTAGACTACTTTTAGCAATACGTACAGTATTACTTTGATACAACATGATAAAATGGACAAACAATGAAAATGAAACAAGCAAAAGTTCAGGAAGCTTCCCTGTGGCCGAGCATGTGGCGTGACAGGCAAATAGTCACACTGGAACCTGATAACCCACACTGGGCATTTAAACAGTGGCGGAAAAAGGCGCGCGTTCTGGAACATCACCCGGGGCCCGCTGGTCGGGCGTTCTGGAACATCACCCGGGGCGTAAGGGTTAAGGCTTTCTTATTGGAAAAGTCTAGTAGAGAATTTATTCAGCATCATTATGATATCAAATTAATCTCTAACAAAATTAGAACAGGAGGTGGTGGCACAACCTTTGTGTGTGGGGAGGAACTGACCATATGGTCAGTTTGCCTTTCCTACCTGCAAGGGTCAAAAGGGTCATTTTCCTCCCTCCCACCCACTGCATCTCACCGCCTCTTCTATGGCTGTCATTCATATACGGTACAGTATTATTGTACGGTGCATTATTTATAATTGCTATGCATTAATTAGTAAAAATATGTTCAATTTTGTTCATTTTTCTACAGATGTTCTTATCACTATAAAGTATCTCATAGGTAAAAAATAACGTCATCAAGAATGCGTCGCCATATATACAATGGTACAAAATAAATTTTTCTAACACTTTTAGAGCAGATGTTGTGAATAAAAGTTTATACACCTTTTGCTAGCAGCCTTGCACCTGAAAAACACCCTCGCTTTCATCTCTATTCAAGACATCTTTAGGTCATGAGACCCACAAGTCCCCCACCCAACAATGGGTGACCTGTGACATTCCATCAGAAGGTCAGTAATATGAGACCACTAATACCCCACCCTACTTACACCTGACATTGCACAAGTCAGGTCAGTTACATGAAACCCACCAATCCCCCACAGCTCCGTGGGAGTGTAAATTACCGGTCTTCACTCTAACACACAGCTTCATTCATTCCCATATCAATATAGATTTTTAGTTTTTTAAATATATTTATTTAACCAAACTTTTAGATAAATTATTCAGGATTATTCTGGTAAAGAAATGGGTAGTAGGCAGCTATCAAACAGGGAGGTACTACTGCCTGGGAAGATATTGTTAGTATATATTGTCTAGTGGTAGATCCTGCTGCAATATGGCATCACAAAAATTGTGACCAAGTCCAGTTTACTGATCTGACATTCTGCCTCTTTTACACACAATTGCATGGTCTCAATTGTTTCTCTTACTTTGACAACACAACATACATATATCGCTTCTCACTTTTTTGTTTTATTTATTTATTTATTATCATTACAATATTATCATTACATTATTGTTATTGTTATTACTGTATTATTATTGTATTTTTTATTATATTTTTTATTTATTTTTGTTAATTATTATTATTATTATTTATTAATTACAGTATAGTATTATTATTATATTATCACCCCCAGGCCCCGATGTGCGTTTACAAACTTCATTAGTTTAGACTCTTGGAAAACTTTCCCCAGCACCAAGAAATGAAACATTCTGGGGATGTGGGCTAGTGTCTACCTGTGCAAGATGCATAGTTTAGACTCTTGGAAACTTTTCCCAGTAACCAGTAAAAATTCCAGGGATAAGGGATTTTTCTGGCTATGAGAAAGTCGTCTGATTACCTGGAAATCTCTCATCCCCGGAAGTGACCTGCACCAACTGTTCCGGCTAACGGAAATATCACTATTATGTACGATGTTTATTGTTTCTTAAAGCAGTTTTGTAACAATTTATGGGTATTGCTTGGCCTCTGGACCCAAACTAATTACAGGCTGGACCTCACTAATCCAGGAAGCTTGGGACCAGACCGGTTCCAGAGTAGTGAAAATTCTGAACCATCGAAGGCGAGGTTAAAAAAGGCAAAGTAATGCATAAAATGTACTAATACTGGTACCAATACAACTTACATCAGCATAAATCTAGCCCAGGCTTACTGGACCTCTTTATGACAAAGTGTTTACTGTACTGTGACACAGAAATAAGTAGATTAGCAGAAAAGGCAAAGAGAAAATTGTGTATCATAGGCATACTGATACCTGTAACTAACCATCGAAGCTGCCAGACTAACGGGTCCCGGATTAACGAGGTCCAACCTGCATTTCCATTCAAATCAATTACAGCGTAAATTATAATTCACGATATCTTCTAGTACAGTACCTAACTCTGAATTATCGAGACTCCACTGTATAGTGAAAAAGTGGTGTCTTAAGAGAAGCTTTTGGTGCAAGTTAAAGGGATGCAATACGGTACTGTACCCTGCATTTCCTATTGAAATCATAGAATATTTTATACTGTACAGTACAGGATACATAACCATGGATAAAGCAGGGTGAAGGAAAGATAACAGGTAGACAGACAGATGTACAGTATAACATACACAATCCCAACCGGAAAAACTCACCTAATAGGATGATCAGCACAGCTCTTGGGACGCTCCATCACAGAAACCCATTTATCATCATATGAGAAAAGTGTTAAATCAAGATAGGGTGAAGCTGAAAATGACTGAGCCGAGATTGGTAACTGGCCCAGCAGTCGTTTTGTTGCCTCTGTGATGCCACCACCACGAGCATTGATAATACTCTTCTTAAACCTTTTATGGATCAATCTGAATAAAAAGAAGAAAAAAACATTGGCACATATTTCACATTAAAATTCATATATAATCACCAAAAAGATCTGCTTTCTTAAAAGATACTCATTACAAAATGGCTAAATGGATGCTTTAAAAGAACAAAAATTTCACTGTTGATCAATTTTATTCTTTACACTGTTCAGTAATCCTATCTAGAGAAGGCACTAAATAGTGTATAGATATGTACATACCAAGATATGTGAACACGCCTGACACCAGGACTCTTGTTACCATTCATTGTACCATTTATTCACATGTCTGTATTACTACATATTATTATAGCATGTCTGATGTCTATGCTTATGTCTAATGCCTATGTTCATTTACTATGTCCCGATGTACTATGTCTGTACCGCGCTAGTCGAGTAATTAGAAGACCTCATTTATTGTCCTAGGAATGTCTAGCAACTCCCCTTGCCTAGCTAGCTAATTTCCCTCAGATCGGCCTCGGCCTACCTACGGTCCGGGGTCCCTAGTAATCGCTCCTGTATCGGTTGGCTATCACGCCCAGTCTTGTACACTTATTGAATATATCTACTGCTCGTGCCCTGGAGTTTCAAGAACCTTGTCTAGGATTACATCCACCACACCACATGGCGCAGTTTGAGTAGCTCCAACACGACAGTTTACAAGCCTCAAGAGCCGGCCCCGTCTGTTTCCCGGCCTCGTGTTTCCCGCCCAGAAGATATACTCCACAGTGCCCCTGGATTTAAAGTGCTTTGTGACCTTGTGAAGTGCCCTAAGTGAAGTGCAGTGCCTTTCATGTCTCTTTGCTATGTTTCTCGGCAGGTCATTCTTTTCAATGAAGAATTGAGGCGCCTAGAATGGGAGTGGCGTAAGCACCAAAATCATGATTTACAGATATGACCACAGGCGCGTTCACTGGCCTTTGTTCTATATGATCAAGCCTGACTGAGTGTCGCTTATGCCGCCACAAGGTCGAGAATTCCATTGGAAGAGCATGTAACTTATATTCCCAGTTTCGTGAAAATTTGGTGATATTTATTGATTTATTTTTATTTTTAGGGGGGGGGGGGGCATTTGGGGATGTGGCATATGGGGCTCAGCTTTCCACAGGCAGCATCCCTTATACGGTCCAACTTTTGTGGAAAGTTTCATTGAAATCCATGCAGTAGTTTCCATGGTACATAAACTTTAAATGCAATTTACTCAAAACAGGCATTTTGGAGATATGCCATTCCCATTCTAGGCACCTCAATTTTCCCTTAATTCAAATGTAGTTTTTATAAATCTATAATACACAGTACCAGTCAATCATCTGAATTTCAATGACCCACAGCAGTTAAAGTGGGGTCATTATTTCTTCCTCAAGCATGCTTTTAGGTAGAAAACTATTCGTCTACGTTTTACATGACTAGTTCTATCAACATATGGGTAAAGTTTGCTGTCAAGATTTAAGTATATCTGCTCACTAAACATAAAAAACTCAAGAAACTCTAGACTTTCAATACTTCTTGGTAAGGAAGGTCCCTGGACGTCTATAACATTTCCGGGATCATCACTTTGTACTTATATTTTATTTTCTATTCCCACTTCTACTATTCTACTATATCTGATAATGGATCAGTCCTCAATTGATAATATTCTCAGGCAGCTCAAAGGCTGACTATTCACCCCATATCCTAGGACTGAACCCTGACTGGAGTGGAGGTTTGCATCTCATACAGTACACTAAACCTTGCACACTCACCACTATGAGATGCTATTATCAGACATCTGACACAGCAAATTCATTAACACATTATTGCATGGCTTTATGAAGAGTGGTCAGAACACAGATTTTTTTTTAGTCAGGCATTTGGAATCACAATTGCCTGAAAAATTCTTGATCATGTTGTCTAAACCTTCCATGTTTTTCATATCTATTTTAATGTCTTACAGCTGAAGAAGCTAAGCAATTACTTAATGGACATTATAGCCAAACAAAGATACAAGATTATTGTTACAAAATGTTCATCTTCTGGTGTCTGGTTATCAGCACTTATATAATACAGAGGAGTCAGTCACCAGAAGGTATGCTTCTGTACATGTGCTTCTAAAATGTGAATACTGTACTGTATAAATACTGTATAAAGTGTTCTATCTACTTAACTCCACCATTTAAATCTTTAACAGTGCAAACTAGAATTCTAAATCAACAACTAAAATTCTTAAATTTTTAATAAAAGTATGAAGGTTATGGGTAAAATCTAACCTTGCCCAATTGTTGTTTGATGGTGAGCAAGTAAACTGGGACTCACAACTCAAACGTGCATTGCGAAAGAAGTCTGCCATCTTCTCAAAAAGTTCCAAGAGTTCTGAAGAAGTGTTTTCATATACTGCAAGAACTTCAGTTGTGATCATGTTGTACACCACAAAAAAAGATGGTTGTCCATTTGGTTCAGCAGATCGGAGAGTCACCACTTCCTCAGAGGCATACTAAGTGGGATGAAAGTGATGCATAGAGAATACTGTAGTCACTGGGTCTTATGTATACTGAAGTTGTTATTTTAGAGTTATAACTGAGAAATATATACAGTATGTCCAATTGGTCAAATATTTAATCACACTGCTTGAAAATCGCTCCAATGATACACGTGCAGAAATCTACAAAATTTAATAACTTGGTGATGGAGAATTTTTGTACTGTCATGATGACAAACTTGGGAAGGATTGATGTGCAGTTGTATGGTCAGGCAGGTATAAATCTATATCCCCTCCCCTCCCCTTCCCCAGACATGCACTGGGAGCTTAAAAATAAACTTGTCAAGACCAACATATTTATTCTCCCATATCAGTCTTCTCATTATTGTATCCTTTACTCCCTTGCCAGCTAAGAAGAGACTTGGAAATCCAACATATAATGTTTAATTCCCATTGTAAAATTGGCTTGTCTAAAGGAAACAAATCCAGCTGTAAATCTTGTTTCAATTTTGCCTGATAGAAACTGTATCACCATAATGCCATCAGGTTATTCACAGCTAACCTACACACATAGTTGCAAAGTCATTACAAGCCCCAAACAAAGAGTTTTAATGTGGTGTGGGTTGAGCCGTGAAGGGTACGGTGTGGGTGTGGGGAGGCACCACACGGTCTCATACCGAGAGGTCTCATGAGGTGAGGTGATGTCTAAGTCAGGTCAGGTGGCAGTGGCCAAGACAGTGGACTTTCCCTTTGATCTTTTGGTGTCCATAAGCACTTTGATCACCCACCTCACCTAGCCTACCCTCCTATCCCTCCCTCCCCCATTGAATCCTCTTTCTTCTGCCCCACCTTTCCTTCAGGGGCTTGGTCGTCCCATTAGACATCAGTTGCTCTTTGCATATACCCAGGGACGTTTAGATTCTAAATACTAAAAAATATGGAAATCAACACTGAAATCACCTGAATTGAAACAATAATTTTTATGCAAAAAAAGGAAAATCTGACATCCACATTTGGCAGCCATCTTGGAAAATGGCCACCATCTTGGAATTTTTAATGTCCAATCAGATAGATTTGATAAGTAACCCATATTGAATCTTCATGCCAATTTTCATGCTTGTATTACCATTTGCAAGATTCCCTCAAAAATTTATATTTAGCCGCTCCGCTAATTCAAGGGTTTACCATTCGTGGTTTCGAATTCGCGGTAAACAAAAGGTGACTAGCTCATAAGCCTCTGTGGGAGCACTGCGAGTCAACCTCACATGCCCATAGCATCTCTTCTCCCTTGTTTGTGCTCACACATTGTTTGCGCCACAGCATCTTTCGTGTCATGCTCAAAACTTTTAAGTGTTTTTTGTGTGGAATGGCCCTGAAAAACTGTCAAGTGTCAGTAATGCTAGTGCAGTGAAACAACAGGCAAATTGTTCAATTTCTGTATTAGATAACTTAAAGGGAGGAATGAGCTACGCCACAGTTGGCAGTTTGTTTGGTGTGAACGAATCCACGATGTGGCACATTAAGAAGAAAGAACAAGTGATTCGTGACTGTTGCAGTGACTGCTCCTACAAGTTCGTGATAAGAACAGAGTTAACAGAAAAGCATTCAACATTTGGATTGTGGGCCAGCACTGCAAAAATGTGCTGATCGACAACAACGTGATTTTTGAGAAGGACAAGAGTCTCTATGCCCATTTTCACGAATCAACAGGTGGTGAATGGGCTAGTGTGGCTGCTGAACAAACTTTTAGTGCCAATAAAGGTTCAAGAATTTTACAAAAAGATTCTTGCTCCATGATGTGAAGCTGACTGGGGAGGCTGCATCAGCTAACCACATACTAATGCAGGTAGTATGGGTGACTTAAGTTTCTCATACAATAGTACACTATGGTAGTATAAGTTGCTATTTGCTGATTTGCCTATTTGTGCCACTCCTGCAAATAACAATGATTTACTGTTGTTGTATATACTGTATAGTACTGTGTGTGGGTTCCTGGAGTAGATATATAAAATTTCTGAAAGCATCTTGGTCCCAGCATTTCAGATTTCTGATACTCAAGTGTACCATACAAGAAGAGTATCTTGATGGTTGAGAATGATGTGTGAAATTTTTATTGTATTAATCCATGCACGTACAAACAAGAAAAAAAGGAAACCCTTCCATTGGTCTGGTATTGGGAGGGTTTGCTATTCATAATTATAAAACCTAATTCTTTATTATGCTGCTTTTAATATCACACTGTGTCAAAATAATATTATTTTTCAAATACATTATGGATCCCTGACTGTTCATCAAGACTCAAGGGATAAAAGATATACTGTATCAGTGCCCGGAAGTTTTAACAGATGGATCACATACACTCCAAAATCTGAGGTTCACAAATTCCTGGATAAAAAAATTCACTTAATATGGTCCATGTATAGATACACCATTTTACACTCATAACATGAATTTTCTATTTATCAGTGTAAGCATCATACCTTTATAAGTAAGTGCACATCATCAAGGAGCTGCATTTTCCACATCCGTAGGCGATGAAGATGATCGAAGTAATGGAAAAATTCCCTCAGTGCACGTGGGCTGCCCTCTTCCTTACTAACAGCTTCAGCACGCCGGTAAAGGAACACTAACAGCCTGTCAAAGAATGAAGGATTGATATTGGAAATACTATTTATAACCACACCACTGAACATGATTGCACAAATTCATTTGTGCCAGTGACTACACTTGTGAGGGTCTAAATGTCCCTATACAGTACATAGATGGATTTGGGGATTGGAATACAGATTTTCCCAGAACCCAGTAGCAAAGCTGAAATACATTCTAAAATATTCAGGTAAAACCTACTGTATTTGCTTATCAATAAAATGCTTACTTTATTGAATAATGCAGGCATGGGCAACCTTTCCTCTGTCATGGGCCTCATTACGATTTAGGTATTTTTATGCAGGCCATCCCACCAAAATTTATATCCTACCTAACCCAAAAGTAATGTTAATATTGTACTGTATTAGCACAGACAGTCTTTTTCCCATTTATGAAACAAATCCATAATAATCATTTTTTAAGTAACATGCTAATATTTCTTGGCATTTAACAGAAGATGAGTGAAGCAGTCTGTGAATACTGTACATTGATTTTTCCTACAATTACAGCCCATTTTTCTGACTTATGACACCCACCAATATAATGTCAATGTTAATCTCGGCACATGAGGAACTACAATGAAATAATCCATCAAGCAGACCGCACCGAACTTGGCCAGTAAACTCACACAAGTTAAAATTTTTAGATTATCGACTATTTATACTTATTTCACTGTTACATTTTTGTAGTTACTTACTCTTAGGTGATGAAACAGTAACAAATTGTGTGAAGATTATTCTTTTCATAAATATTGTTTTACTCACCATAAACTAGTTGCATCTACCTAAACCACGGGCCACATTAAATAGAATTTCTCAATCACTCTGCAGGCTGCAAAAAGATATGGTTCCAGCCGCATAAGGCCCATGGGTTGCCCATGCCTGGAATACAGTACTGCATATTCATGAAAATTTAATTTAGACTTCAGGATCACAGCACCTTCGGTGATTTTTTTTTAGTGAAATTGACTCCAGGAACTTGAGAAGAGGTTCTATATTAATTGGGGGATGTGAAACAATCCAAGATCTTACCAAAAGTACTGTAAACTTTAATGTGAAGATGGAACTCATACTTTCGATCATAAGTTCAGGCAGAATAATCTAAAATTCAAGTTACAGAGATGAGTTACCTTAGGGCTACCACAAGAAAGGGGCAAGAAACCTTGAAATGTAAGGAGTGTTTGCAATGAAAGAGAAGGCAGTGTAGAAATTGTGAAGTGGTAAAATGAGAAAAGAGAAATTTCCCAAAATGACATGGACATGTGAGAAGGATGCAGGACACAATAATAAAGAGGATGTATAGGGACAATGTAGGAGGTGCACTGGGGTGAGGGAGACACTTACATAGGAGAATGAGAAGCAATATAAGGAGATAATGATAATATTCATTCTCAACCTTTGAAAATTAATAAATGTTTTCACTGTTTTAAAGACTTGTTCATTTAATTTTTTTGTTTGGGTTAGAAAAAATTCAGGTTTGGTTTAATTCAGAGTTTGCTAGACTTGCATTCTGGTTTAAAAAAAAATATTGACTTCAATTGTTTGATAAGCAAGAAAAATAGATGGAATATTAATCAAAGACAAGTACAGCAATCTCTCCATTAGCTGGAATCTTTGATCCCAGGACACTTCATTACCTGGATTTTTTTGTGTGTGAGAATTCCAGAATGAAAAATCTCTCCATTCTGGGCATTCAAGCATACCAAGTGGGTAGGGGCTCCTTAGCTATGATTGGTTACTACTGTCATGTAACTGCATGGGGTGCCTATGATTGGCTGATGTATCTCCCAACCTATCTCCTCCAACTCTACCAACATAACCCTCTTAGTTCATTGTTTGCTGTCATAGTACAAGCTTGTTAACTCATTCACTGTTGTTTTTGCATATCATCTGCATTGTGCAGTACTGTACATTAATGTACCAGCATATAATCAGCCAAGAATATCATTAAGGTAGTGTTAAGATGTTAAAAGTAATTACTGTTACATATACTGTACTGTACATTCAGTACGTGTGAAAGTATATTATACGTTACTGTACACAGCAGAGTGGACAGTGTATAGCTAGTGTGTAGAGGGTGTATGTACAGTATATAGTGTGTACAATCCCTCCTTCTTGGAAGAAAAGGAGAGTGACAATTAGTAACACCTGTTAAAGGATATGGTACAGGAAAAAGGCAAGGCATTCTGTATCATCTTATCACCATTTGGTGTGCCTGCATCACAAGCAACAGTATACAGATTACAGGTATTTTGTTTATTTGCATTATACAGTACAGTATTGGACATGTACAGTGGTGTTTGCATAAATAAATACAGCTCTAAGTCTGTCCGCTGCAGTCCGACGCGAAAACATTTATCAGTGGGAGTAAAAATTCCAGGATGCGCAATTTTTTTCTCGAGAATGAGAACATTCGTCTCAATACCCAGAAACCTCTCAAACCCGGAGCCGCTCTGCACCAATTATTCCGGCTAATGGGGATATTACTATAGCATGAGCATAACAGTTCTCGGGGATTTGACAAAAAGTATGGACAGAATTAAAACAAACCTGTGCTTAAGACAATTAATGATTTTCTCTCTAAAATGTTGATAGGTGCGTTGCATCCGATCTGTGCAAACTGTAGCTAGTAGGTAATCATCATCCTCATAACAAACTCTGCCAATAGTGCGGACATCTAGGAAGCATCCATCTGAAGTAATCTGAAGATATGTAAATCTATGATTAACCAGCAATTTTTTTATTGAAATATCAAAACTTATGGTTCAGCAAGCTAATGACCTGTATACAGGAGGATCTCCCTGTTAATTGTTTGTCCCCATCTCTGCCCATCATCCTAGTGTCAACCATAAGTATCCGTTAACCTTTCCCAGACAGTATGGTTGGTAGAAACACTGGTCAAATGTCAAAGGCTCGACCATTGAAGAATATTTTTGTAGATCAGTCTACATAAAGAATATACCTCTCGATTTACACGGATCTAATTTGCATGTTTTTGAAATAACACAAGTATTAAACTAATACCTACTTTCAAATTAACACAAAGTTTTTTAAATACAGTAGCACGGATTTGAAAAGGGTGCCATTGTGCCGGGCAGCGTACTTCAGTACCTCATTGCTTTCCACTTTACCTGAACCTCAGCCTTTGACAATTGGCATCTCAAAAGCTTCCCCATCATCTGCTCGGTCATCTGATTCAGATGACTCCATCCCCCAGTAACTCCCAACCTCTTCTCCACCACCACTAGTTCCCACATGCCATCCCAGCCATCATTCAATGTAAATATTAGAAAAAAGTTGCATTTAAAATCTCTTGTCCTACTACTGTATTATTAGGGTTGCTTATATTATTGTATTATTATTATTATTATTATTATTATTATTATTATTATTATTATTATTATTGTATTATAATTGTTATTATATTATTATTATATATAAAACATATCGAAGGAAATACTGTAGATACCCGGTAAACAAATTACAGTACAGTTTTTAGGGAGCATTTCCCCTCACCCCTGCCATTTTCTTTATTTCTTATGGGATAATTAAGTTCGATTTACACGTCTCTGATTTACACAGCCATTCTCAAGAACGTAACTACCGTGTAAATCGAGAGATGGCCGCATTGTGTTGTCAAAGAAAGAGAAACATTTGAGATGCTGCAACTGTGTGTAAATGAGGTATGTGGCCAAGTGTTCTATTATTTTGTACCAGTATGTACAAATTCTTAGTCTTTACTTGTGTACAAAGAAACGTTATTCCTTTTATGCGTGTGGAAGGTGGGTACACAAAAGGAGCAGTAGAGTTGATGACAGACTGCAGGATGCTGCTGTATGTGCAGGTAACTATGTGCACATAGCAAGGTTGGAAAAACTCAACATGGGATATGCCCCTTGGTAACGTGAAGCCTTTTCAGACTTACAGGAAGGGCAGAGCAAGCTTCACATACAATATGCCCCTTTTTGGGGGGTGCTTAAGTTCTAATACTGTACCAGCTGGAGCAAAATGGTTGAGAAACAGCTGATACATTACTGCACCATAGTATCATAAATATTTACTCTGTAATTACTGTTAAAATTTACCCCACCTTTAATGTATCTCTCTTTGTGTATTCCTTATAGTACTTATGTTTAATTTTGCAACAAATGTAGAAATGTTGCCAACTATCCTACTTAACTGCCTTGGGGACAAAACAAGCAACTTGTGAGATACCAAGCTTGCTGCTGCCTAGGAAGTGTCACTTGTGAGGCTCCATAGGCCACATATACTCTATATAAACTTTACCTGGAATATATGTATGGTTTGATGTTGCACAGAAAGAACTGCAAGAGTTTGTCTATACAAATAAAGTCCTTGGTTATGTGACAGGAATATCTTGTCATGTAAAAATGTCCTGGAGTCACAGAGTCGACCCATTTCAATATCAACTATGTGAAGAGTGTAGTCTTCTAAAGGAGAGCGAGGGTTTGGGGTCACAGATTCATTATTTCTATACATATCGAAATAATCAATACTGTTGCCACCATCTGCAGACGCTGATCCAACAATCACATATCTGAAATATTATCACAATGAACTTTAAACTCATACACAAAATTATATCAAATCCTAAAATATTTTACCAACAAAGGTAACCAGTGAATTCATTAAGCAGCTTTTTAATTATTCAAAATGAGCTTGAAATGCTGTAATTCAATAGAGGTCACTGTCCAATATACTATACTCTACAGGTACTATTGTTACAGGTAATAATATGAAAAAGAAATTTTGCAAAGAAAGAAACAAATTATAAAATTATTCAGATATAATATTAAATTTATCATCTGCTCTTAAAAAATTAAATCTCAAAAACTTTTCACCTTATAAACCTTTAAAATAATTTCAACATACTTGCCATCATCCGTAAATAAACTGCATTCACGGTTCAGTTGCTCACCATTTGTTGCTACAGTTACAGTGTGTTTAAGCTTGAAAAAATGGTCAAATATGTTCCTACGAATCTCATAGGTTTTGGGATCATTTTCTTTAAGGACACTTGTACTCTGAAAATAAAAGTATGCCTCATTAAAATATTTCTATGTTCAAACTGCAATGTAATGCATAAATTGCACACACAGTAAATCCAGTGAAATATGGCAGGGAGCGAGGAGAGTTATAAGAGCAGACAACACTTTAACTAGTGGTCACTCTCTTGCTCCCGTTGCCAGGCATACAATCGAAATAAGTATGGAAGAAATACATATCTTGTAGTTTAATTTGAAAACAGTGAGCTCTTTTCGTGTAAGTGTGATTTAGCATGGCCTGGGATTATGAGGGTAGCAGAAAGCCAATTTATGATATCAAGAAAGAAATGTGTCAGCCTTGATGTGTATAGCAGCACCACATAGGGTTACAAGATGCAATATAATTTATATCGATATAAAACATAGGCACAAAAATATCGAAAAAGAAGAAAAAACAAAAAATTTACCATTTGAGTATCAGTATTTTGCTATTTTCTAAAAACTGTTGGTCATATCAGAAACCTGATTACTGCATTGGAAAGTTCATAAAATTCTGCTTCTAGTAGTGTACACAGTAGTACTTAAACAGTTGGCTCAGACAATTTTGAGCTAGTAGGTTTTGAACGTATTGGTGTGTATTTTTTTCTCATGTTTATTAGAAGTGATGAAAAATAGTTATATACTTGTACAGTATTATTCTTTTTTTTTTACTTATGTTGCAGAGCAATCAGTTACGAAGCCAAAGATACCTGTACAGTATATGGTTTATGTCATTAATAAAAAATTTTGGGGGGAAATTGATAAAGCAAAAAAAAATATTCACCGTGCACTGTCTCGCCTGACCTGGGGGCCTCAGAGATGTGATCTTGGAACTGGAAAACTTAAAACTTATCTCGTGCACGAGAGGGTTAAGTTGGTTCTAAATCCTTGCAGTAGCATTATTTCCAACTTTGATAAAGTATTTATATGGGTTACTTGTTATAAATTTAGTTAGAGTTCCTATCATGCACACTCAAAGAAAAAAAGAATAGTACTTATGATTCCTTTTTCCCATTGCAATTCATTAAAAACAAAAAAACAAAAACAAAAATTCATGCACACCAAAGATGACTTAAGCCTACAGACATAATGAAATTGTGTCCCAGCAAAAACTCTCCTGCCATCAGTACCACTCATAATGTCAAAGCTGAAGGTCATGTGCTCACTCAATCACTATGGAGGTTACACAGTCATTGGTTAAGAGTGAAGCAGCAGATTTTGACAGTGATTTGAGAGACAATTGATGAACAGTTAAGAACAAGACATACTCATTAGCACCATCTTCAAACCGCTATCATGACTCATCCCAGGGGAGGTCCCCCAGTCTGGAACAACTACTGTACTTAACATTATACTTAAGTAATTGTGACTTTTACTTTATTTGTTTTATGTGTATTTCTGTTTTCCTTGATATTTTGATGGTTCACAAGGCTAATAAGTATGGACTTACTTGTGATAAGTTTAATGCAAACACTTGAACCACATATCCTCTTTCTTTTCTGAAACCACACTGGTTTCCTGCTTATGCCACTGTTCTCTCAATAATGACTTCCATACACCTTTCCTGGTAAACTTGATAAAATTATTACCCTAGTACAGTATAACAAATTTGAACTAGATATGTTAATCACCACACTTCATTTATTACCTCACACCAGTGCAGCATGTCTGCAGCAGCAGAAGGTCCCATGTAGCGAAAAATTTCTATACTGGTTTGGTCCGCTGAAAAAGCAATTAGGAATCTGGAAACAAAATTAAACATGTGTAAAACATAAAAACAAGATTAACATGATGATAAAATATAAATAAAATAGTAAAGAATGGTCTCTTAAATGAGGCTTTCAAGGTCTGTGGCTGGACAAAGGCCCAGCCAGGCATATAGTAACACGATGAAGTGTACAACATGACAAAGGAGAAAGGATGATTTTACAGTATTTCCTCGATTTAACAAACTAATTCGAGCCAACCCTGTTCATTAAATCAAAATTTCCGCTAAATCGAGCTCTTGGTCAACTAAGTATACACTGAGCGCCTTAGCTTTCGTCTTTATTCAAGGCATCTCCAGAGGCAAATGAATTTTCAGGGACGGAATGTCAGGTCACCCTTTCTTGAGTGGGGGATTAGTGGGTCTCATGACCTGAAGATGTCCTGAATAAATACAAAAGCCAAAGTATTTTTAGGGAGATTGTGATAAGTATAGGTGTAAGGATGTGGCTAAACATGGTGCAATCTTTCATAATGCCAGGAACCCTTGTCCCCAGGCCCTGAGCAGAAAGGTTTGGAGTGATTTTCTCGCCATTTTCTCAGATTTCCTGTACAGTAATTGCTTTATATCATTATTTATCATTTTTATACATTTAGTACATTCACCATAGGCTGAAGTAGGTTTTACTGTATCATGTGTCTCAGGTGTCTCCATAGGTGTGAGCATATTAACGGAAATAATCTTGATTTAGCAAACTATTTCACTAAATCGAATGAAAAATAATAAAAAAAAGCCTTCCGCAAAATCGAGAGTTCGTTATAACAAATTCCATTAAATCGGGAGTACTGTATACTGTATAAGAAAGTAAGGAGTACTTGGAGGCCAAGCACTGGGACAGAAGAGAAGTTTATATGGCTATGAAGCGTGAAAAGGATGCAATTGCAGGTAAGGTGAATAGTGCGGATGGCTAGAGGTGAAGTACAGTGAGTTCTGCTATAACGCGTGTTTTGACAACGCGAATTGGCTCTAACGCGATTTATGAATAGAGGAACGATATTTGTATAACGCGAACACTTGTTTGCTGTAACGCGATTTTTGCTTACTATTTCTCCAATTATGTGGTATTAACTGTGAATATGGTAAAGAAGAATATCACCAAGAAGCATTCTGGTGATCGCATTCCCGGTGATGATCGTAAGAGAAAGGCTATAACCCTTGAAGAGAAGCTCGATGTTATTTACCTCAAAATCACCCTTCTCCCCCATCAAGTTATATTCATATTTTTTCAAGGTAAAGTGTTACATTTACTGTATGATTTCATTATTAGATATGAATGTAACATTTATTTAGACTGTGCTATCCTTTGTGTTAGGCTAACTACTAAATTTTTTCCGATTTCGAGTCGTAATCTGCACCTAACCCTATTTTCTCCATAAGCCCTGTATTTCTATTACGCGAATTTCTATAACACGATGTTTTACAAGAACACAACTATCGCGTTATGGCAGAACTGACTGTATACAGAATGGCAAGGATAGAAACAAAGATGTAGTTTGTGAGCAGTGCATGAGAAATGACTTAGAAAATACAGTACAGCATACAATACAGTATTATCTCTCTACAATATATCAAATGAATTCGCTATACAGTATACCAAATCCACTGCCAAACCTCTCCTCAAATATCTAAAATATAATACCCCGTACCGTAATACAATGCTCTAATCATTAGAGTTTAATGTGACCTAAAAATAAATAAAATAAAATACAGCAGACCCTTGCTATTTGTGGTTTTACGGTTCATGGTTTGGGCTATTTGTGGTTCATTCCCTCCAACCCAGGTAAATAAACTACTCCTATTGTAAATTTAAAGTTTAAACCCGTTCGTATCGACCTCTATTATCACCACCTAAATCATAATTTCAGTGATGCAGTGATGGATTAGCTTCAGCCAGAGCAGATCCATACTATACCCATTGCTTCCCAGCTCCCTTCCTCTCCACCCTCTCACCGATACGCTGCCTCTCTCACTATCATTCATGATACAATACATTCTTTATTTGTTATTCATTAATTAGTATAGATACGTTACTGTAATAATCTGCGGTTATTAATACCTGTACCCTTCACATACAATAATGTATATATCTTATAGGTAAAAAATAACATCATCAGGAATGGACCTCCATGTTTGCAATGGTATACTGACCCCGTAGAGCGCTGTTTTGAATAGCGCTCCATTTTCCAGGAACGTATCCTGAGTGCTAATCGGGTTATTACTGTGAACCAAAAAACTCTATACCAAACTGGCTGCTCATCAATAACTGAATTTCAGTATGGAGAGGTAATACTGTTGATAATGAGAAATTTAAAGGTGATCCAAGAAAATACAATTGTATGATCATCTGCTGTATGAGGAATTCAGTTGTGATAGGGACAGCCTAGAAATGGCAGAGCCAGTAATGGAACCATACACTTGGACTGAAAGAGAATGGAAGAAGAAAGCAATTAACAAAATTATTAATGGAGAGATAGCTGGTATAGTTCTGGAATAGTTGCACAAATATTGAAAGGATCAGATTATGTTGGTGTGACAAAGGTAACTGAATTAACTCATGCATTTACTGTAACCTTATATGTTGGTGTATAAAATTCACCATATTTTTAGAAAGAAATATTTAGAAGAAATAATTGGTAAATATACAGTACTGTACAGTACTTTAACAAGCACTACTATTATTATGGAAATAATCATAAATGAAGTAGCAATGAAAACATTTTTCTATGAATATCAGTAATGTACTATGGTAATTACCATAAATATTTACAGTGATGTTCCTATTAAGAAACAAAACATCAATGTTCCATAATATGAATATTTCTATAGGTACAGTATGCAGTAAGTATTTTCTCCTGCCAGTAGAGAAAACCATGCAGCAAATAGGTTTATTAAATGATCAGTAATAAATATTTACACTTAACATTATGTTTCATAAATACATATGGAATAGTGAACCTGACCTCTTATCCAATATCTTCCCAGGCGGTACTACCTCCCTGTGCATACCGTACTTACAAAACAATGTTTAAAATCCCACTGCAGCATAACCCAAGTTCTTAAATACATCTAAAATCACTTAATTTAAGAGAAAAGAAGAAATAGAATGACAAAATACAGTAAATGAAAGTAAGTCATAAGGTAAATAAAATACTGTAAATTTCAAGTTTAACCCTGTTCGTATGTCGGGGACCTCCTGTACTGTTGCTGTTAATAGACTGAAAATGTAATTTCAACCCCTAGGTGTCGGTCCATGTCATATGATGTGTGTCTGTAGAGCTTCAGGTCACATCATATGATGTTTTGATCTTTCGCGGGCCTACAGTATTTGAAGAAAAAGGGAGGGTCTGGCAAGATTATGTTGCCAAGTAGGTACCTATTTATATTTCACTCACTCACACTTGAGAGTCTCCCAGTTTCTTTCCAGTAGCTTCTCACTTTTGTGATGTTGGAATTTTGTCCTTGAATTTGACTCACATCACTATGTGTGTGTCTGCCCCAACCCTAAGTCTTGTATCGTGATCAAGTACTGGTGTAGTAATAATGATTCTTAATAGCGTAAATAGTAATAATATAGTAAAACATGTGTCCTGTACCTCATACTGCCTACAAATAGTGTTGTTTGCCTCGTTACTACTGTGTCTCACACACACATTTCACTTCACAAATATTCTCGACTCTTTCTAACCCCCATGTTGTCAACCCGTGGTAAGGACATTTATTTATTTCCTGTTTATATCCTGCATGACCAGTTTGTAAGACTAGAATTGTTTTTTATTTGTTTTTTAATGTTTCCGAATATACCTGCATGGGGGGGGGGGGGGTGCTGACCACAGCCCAAAGCCCAGGGATTAAATACAGAAAAGTATGTCAAATGAAAATCTACTTTACTAAATAATCTATTCTGCAAAAAGATCTGAGCATTCTAAATACAAGCAGTCCCAGATTTACCAAGATTCATTTTAAAAAAATCTCCAGGATTTGATTTACGAACGAAAAATCCAGTTGTATATTTTTTCACCATCTTTTGATAATTTTTCTTAATTAATAATGAGAATATGCTATAATAAATCAGTTTTTTACCACCAATACAGGTACACAGGTAAACCTCAATTTACAATACAACTATCTATGATAATTAATTCATGTTAACAATGCTGATATAATAAGTCCACTTCCCTGTTTGCAATGTAGTACTGTACAATATTCATTAACATACAAGATGTTGTGAAAAGGGGGTAATGAAACCCCTCCTATTAACAGAGTCCTCCCAATAACAGAAAATGCTTGCACAAATTAGCCCATTATTGGAAAGGTTTACCTATAAGTGTTAAAAAAAAAATCCTACTAATAACTTAAAAGTGTTACAATATGAAAAAGTATACTATAGTGGAAATTAACATTACAAAAAATTGTGGTGGCAAATAGTAGGAGGGAGATATCTCCAAAGGTCAGTGTGCCTCAAGGCTTTCAGTTTTATTTGAGAATATCTGTACCTAATGAGCAGATGCCTTAGGCCTCTGGATGGTACGTGTCAAAAAATTATGTGAATCGTTTTGAAAATTTCAGCATCAAATCAAATAATCAAAATGAGTTGGCTCAAGATCCCCAGAGAATCTCATTTGAGTTGGCCCAAGCTGTAAGGGTGAATGATACAATCTATATGAATAATCCCAATACAGTAGTGTCATAACTACAAGAACTCTGGAGCCAAAATTTATGGACTATATAATAAAATATCAGTAAAATGAGCTGTCATGGAGTTCCTAAAGTCTTACTTTCCATCAGGACTGAACTTCCTCAGGAAACATGGAGGCTTCTGAACATTTGTAACAGTGAAGTTTGGCGTGACATTTTGATAGAAACAGCGGTCGGTGTGCAGCTGACTGTGCGACTGTTTGTGTATTTCCCGATGGAATAGTCGGACAACAAGATTTTGAGGAGGGATGCGTTGCACTGCAATACCAGGTTCGGTCTCATTAGTCTCCTTTCCTCTGTAAAGAATCATCAGTTTTTAATCCAATACAAATTTGAAGAACTGAAGTATGAAATCCCATGTTAGGAACACGAAAAATTTTATCAGTGATATACATACTGTGCCAATACATAACTCCCTGGCAGGAACTACAGTACTGTACCTCCAGTGATATCTCTACCATACACACTCACTGATATACTCAACAGACTTATTCCTCAATAACTTTTGCATTAATCTATTCACCCTTTTCTTTATACATTAGAACTACATATGCTCTCTGCTATTCCTTTGGTTTGTACCACAAACCAGGACAGTTATGAAGGGTTTTTGTTAATAACTCCAGTTACAACAACACCAGTGATGTTTTTTTAATGATTAATGGATAGGGCATTGTATCCCCATTACATGCTAAGGATATAAAAAATTTAACACAAACTCTCCATGAATAAAGAAAGACGAAGTGAGAAAATTGGCAAAATCAGGATAGGGGTGACTTTGGACAGCCATTGATTTACTGTATACTGTACAGTAAATGAGTACCCACCACTCAGCAAGTTTTCCTGGACATACACTTTTCATCTTTTTAAAAAATAATTTTTTTTTAATTTTTATTTAATTTTATTTTTTGCTGAATACAATAGATCAGTCGGTATATTTCTTAATGACTTTCAATAAAATACAAAATGAAATATTAATACTGTACACAGAACAGTATGTATTACGAAGTTATAAATACAAAATAAACTTGTACAAGAAATTACTTACTTTATAGATTTTTTTGCCTCTTCAAAAATGTCTTTAGAAGTCTTTGGAGAAGAATTTCTTTCTTTTTCCTGTTTACTGTAACTGCGAGGCATCTTGAAATACTCATTTTTCACTTTTGACATATTAGTGAAAACTGAAATCTGAAGAAAACAAAACATAAACATTAGCATTAATGCAGTAGCCGAAGTCACCCGAAGAAAAGAAGAAAAAAGTTAAAGATACATTACTGTACACTTCAGTGACACTTTGTAGCAACTAATATTGTAGAACAAATTTAATAGTTTTTGGAAATACTATACAGTTAGGTAATTTTCCTTGCACTGCAAGCTCGTGCAATTAGTTTTTTCGTGGCACCCACAGATTTTTCTGACCAGAAGATTTTGAGGTACAGTATTGTTAAGACCCTCCTCCTTTCACCGCTTACCCAGCTTCCACCACTGGTTACCTGTGGCTAGGGTCGTATGTACAGAAGCAGTATACAGTGAGTTCTGCTATAATGCGTGTTTTGATAACGCGAATTTGCTCTAACGCGATTTATGAATTAGGAACGATATTTGTATAACGCGAACGCTTGTTTGCTATAACGCGATTTTTGCTTACTATTTCTCCAATTTTGTGGTACAGTATTAACTGTGAATATAGTAAAGAAGAATATCAACAAGAAGCGTTCTGGTGATAGAATTCCCGGTGATGATCGTAAAAGAAAGGATATAACACTTGAAGAGAAGCTCGATTTTATCAACCTCAAAATCACCCTTCTCCCCCATCAAGTAAAGTGTTACATTTACTGTATGATTTCATTATTAGATATGAATGTAACATTTATTTAAACTGTGCTATCCTTTGTGTTAGGCTAACTACTAAATTTGTTCGATTTTGAGTAATCTGCACCTAACCCTATTTTCTCCATAAGCCCTGTTATTTCTATTACGCGATTTTCTATAACACGATATTTTACAAGAACACAATTATCGCGTTATAGCAGAACTACCTGTATATCTATCACAAGTGTTGTCGAATTACCACCGGCTGTCTCGCCAGTCTCCGTTAATTTCCCGACGATTGGTATCAGTGTAGGGACAAGCAACAGGCAGATAGATTTACACCAGGTCACAGAAACACACTTGTGCACTGTAGTCTTCTTTAATAGTCACTAGTTCTTCACAACACTGTTCACAGAGTAATGTCTTCACAGCTTGACTCCACACTTTGAATATATAGTCAGCACACTACCAGTGTACAATTCCTTAGTCTTCTCACGTTATATTGCTCACAACAATTCCACAATACATGCACAACAAATGTCTTCAGTTGTTCTGCTAGGCTTATTCTTTACACTATGAACAGAAACGATCGACTAACTCAAGGCAGCTCGCAGCCGCATATATATATGGCTCGTCAGATGCCAAGAGCATTCTAGTGATGCCCAGATGCTGGAGGTCGGCTCAAGACCCGCCTGGAGAATTCTAGAATGATCTAAGCTTACAATAAGAAGTAAATCATAAAATATATGATGCAAAACATTCTAGAATATTCTTACATAATTAATACATCAATATATACACAAAACTTAACTAAATTTGCCAGAATAACTGCTGCATGGGACAGAAAACAATCAAAGCACCTAGTTTACAAAATTATAAAACAAAATTATGCCTCGGCATAAAAGTATCATCAAAACATTGTTTTTTGGCCCATAGAATGTTATTTTTTTTACTTTGCCAATAACAATCATAGTACTGCATATCAGTAGTCATATCATATACTACAGTACTCACTATTCATCTTTCCCACTGGTGTTTTTTTTCATATCCATGCCATTTCAAGACAGTTAATTTCATTGGTACCAGATATATAAGTAAGTTCCTTCTGCTTATTATGCTGGGGTCCAGGAGGTGGCTAGGAAGTTAGGTTAGGTTAGGTCCTCACAAACCCAGAAAACTGTGAGGGCAAACTTTTTCGGAGTGAGAATTGTGAACTCTTGGAACAGTGTGCATGAGTGTTGTGACGGCACTGAGTGTGAGCTGTTTCATGATCAGACTTGACCAACACTGGAGCAGGTTCAGGTACTTATCAAAAGAGATGTGACTGACCCTCCAAGCGACTAATGAGCCGATCAGTGGCGAAGAGGATAAAAGTAAAAGTAAAAAGTATAGGTAGGTTTTCGGGTTAAGCCTGTTTCTGTTAGGTTCTGTGCATTCTCGTTTTCATTTCTGTGTTCAGTATCATGCAAATAATATCTCCAAAAATTTTGGTTCAATTTCTAAGTTATTTCTGGTGCTAACTATTTCCTCCACCTGTACCAAAAATGATTGTATTGTACCACTTGGATATATTCTGGATTCGGTAAATTGTGACCACATACCTACTGGATTTGTATATTATACAGTAAAACAAACATTTCTGTGACACTCCAGCAGAAGGTAAAATTGCAGTTTCACTACCAATTGGTTTTGGCCAGAAATAGAGGTTTTCCCCGTGATATTTGGTGTGATTCACTCGAATTTGACCTTCATTTCCGTCAGAAATTAGTCATTTTTCAGTTATCATCCCCCTCCAACAATCTTGGGGGACCAGTGGGAATTTGGGGTTTCCTGGTGGGGAAGATCAAAAACGGAAGTTAATAGGAAGCTAGTCAAGTCTAACCTAACCTAACTCAACCGTTAAATTGCAGCTTCACTACCAATTGGTTATTTAACAGAAATCTAGATTTTTCCGTGGTATTTGGTGATTCATTTGAATTTAACCTTAATTACCGTAGGAAACGAGTCTTTCTGGGTTATTACCCCTTCCCTTCCCTCCCCTCCAACAATCATGGGAGTAAACCTGCAATAATACCCACTCTATACAATATCCCAATGCTAGCTTCAGCTTCATTAATACTTTACAGTACATCTTGCTATATTAAGACAGCAACAGACAGAGAAGACTTTCACCCATCTCCATACCTTATACGTTATTTACTACAAAAGTGCACCTTACCCTTTTCTCTTTATTATATATGTAGTTCCTTCGTCTTAATGTTCTTTTATTATACACGTAGTAGGAAAGAGACACTGTACTTCCGTCAAGATAATGTTTAAGTTTTCGAATGTTTAGTAGAGGTGGGGGCGTCCATCACCCATCATCACCTGTGAATCCGGAGTTTGGTTTACTCTTTACTCTTATCCTCCTCACCGCTAATTGGCTCGTTAGCCGCTTGTGCTGTGTTCTTCACTGCTGGCATGAACTGGCTCCTGAATATATCTGAACCCGGGCACAGATCACTGACCCATATCAAGGCCTGGGGTGTGAGAATAATAATAATAATAATAATAATAATGATGATGATGATGATGATAATAACAATAATAACAACAACAACATTAACAACAACAATAGCAATAACAATAATATGAACAATAACAATAATAATAATAATAATAATAATAATAATAAATAATAAATAAAATAAATAAATAAATAAATGAAGAGTGACAAACGATATACAGTATGTATATTGTGTTCTCAATAGTAAGAGAAACAACTGAGACCCTGCAGTTATGAGTAAATGAGGCAGAAAGTCAGTTCAGCAACCTGGTACTAATATTGCTATGCCATATGGCAGCAGAGTCTACCATTAGACAACACATTATGCTTCCAATATCTTTCCATACAGTATTACCTCCCTGTTTGATAGCTGCCTACTACAGGTACCTTGTAGTATATGGCAAACTGTCAGCTTATTTCCACTAGGGTCCTTTGTTGGATGGGTTTTTTTCCATGGATGTATTCAGTAAAATCAAAAGAGAAGTTAACATTGGTCAATTGACAGTCTCTAGCATACCTCAGGAACCAGACAGGGAATTACCTCACTCTTGTAGATCATGATGAGTAACAGACCAACCAGATATCAAAAGACCTACTAGTTTCATTGCCTGATTCACCTTCTTCTCACAATGACCCAAGAATTTAAGTTCATTTTCAACACTTTTAGATTCCTTTTCACATTCGATTACCAATTAGTTCTTCATCCATTAGGACTTAACCTCTATTGTGACAGAACATGCTGGATCTTGACCATTGATATCTTTACACATACCAGCGGTTCATAGTACACTAAATAACTTGGCATCACTGCAAACATTTGTGCCAGAAATTATCTGGGTCTGACATATCATTAAGCAGACCAAGCAATGGGCCAAATAGATTTCCCTGTGGTACTCAGCTTCTCTTTTGGGTACACATGGAAGTGATTTCATGCATTTATCACTACCTCGTTTTACTTGGTCATGTAAAAGTCTCGATCAACTTTAAGGACACTTTCCCAGATCCGACTCTTCCTTCAAATTTAGATTCTCCAAACCGAGAGGCAGGGAGGAGGGTTTTAGGTTTTAATTGAGACAGTCTTGTTGAGAAGGTTCTTAACAGCAGTAAATATGTTGAGTAAAAAAGGAGAGGGGCAGGAACATGAGACTCTCTCAAACATGTTGCCGGTTTGGAATTGTTGACCCGATATTTAACCAGCAGCAGGATTTTCTTGCGTTGAAGCAGAACCAACTTGAATTTTGGGATCTTTGCAGGCCTGATAAAAGACCTTAAATAGGCTGCCTCATAAATTTCAAGATAAAATTTAAATAAATCATAGTAATAATAATTCTAAATATAACACTTAAACAGTGACATATTTTCCATTTATTTGTCTTTGAAAACTTCTTTTAGCATCATTACAAATCATTATTCAGGGTCTTCTTTGTTCAGCTAGCAGCAGCACTTTTAAACAAACTTCACACCCATTGTCTTTTCTTTAACTTTTGGGCTCTAATACAATGATGAAGAACTTCCTGCTTACAATCTCTGGGGTCTCAACTGTAATCTTGGGATCCATGGTGAACCCTCTTTTTAGCTGCTTTGTTTGTTTTGTTAAAATTGGAATAAATGTAACTCAAACATCCAGTCTTGACAGAAAACCTCTTTGTTTTCTTTTGATCAATTATTTCGCCAAACATGCTTGGAGAAAAGTGCCCAGTATTACACAGCCTTGATGATCATTAATAACAAAACAACTTATAAACCTTTATTAAAAATCACTTACATAAACCATCCATATATCAGCCTAAATGTTTTACTGAAATAAAATTAAAATGATTATTATAGTGTAACAGCATTCACCAATAGACCTGTCATGACAGGACAAATGAACTAAAAGCCGAAGTCAGAGAGGAAAACATGGCCTGAAAATCAAAACCCTTCCATATCTATGGATCAGCTTTAGAACCTCCCTCTTCATCTTCTGAGCTATCATCAAACTTCTCTTACTTTCTGTGGAAAAATAGGTTCTGCTGTATAGGCTTTACCCTTTCTTGCAGGCTTCACTGACCATCCAACTCAGTCTGCTTTGAAAAAATTATCCTGCAACTTCCCAGTGGTAACATTCCTTTCTCATTTAGTTGTGAGAGTCTTAAAACCCCAATGGACTCTTCAAAGTCATGCTCTCATAAAATAATGAAATTTGGTACAAACTGATTCTGAACCTTTGCTTGAAAAGTTTTGAAAACAACCTTCTTCACTTATAAATGGGGTTTCCTACAGCAGTAATGGTTTTCTTTCATCATCATTATAATCTGTTGTTTTTACTATATATATAAATATTTCTTACCATTTGCTTGAAAGAATAAATTTAATTATGGGATCTTGGCGTAACTTAAGTCAACTATCATTAGGAGACATACTGCTGCCTGCTTAAATATTTTTTAAATTAATTACATTTAATAGGAACCCACACTACCTGAGCACAGACATATTTGCTTTCATTCACCCATAAACAAAAATACAGTACAGTACTTGTGAAGAAATAAATCCAGCATATATTTATCATCCTTATCAAATGGGGAAAACAACTGAGATAAACACAAACTACCGACTCACATATATAGGCAGGCTGAACTCCTGCTTATCTGATATGAACCGAAATTCTGGTAAATTTTCGATGAGACTGGAGGCCCGAACAAGATCCGTCCCTTTGTGGGTGAATATGACGCTGTCGTTGCTTATCCGTTATGTTTCACTCATTATGATACTGGATGTTGTCTTCAAGTTCCTCACTAGTTTCATCTCCAATAACCTGTCACCACTTAACACAAAGAGATAAACCACATTTTGTTACTGATTAATTATTTTGTTTTTTCTAATAAAACTTGAAACTATCTTATTTAGACAAAACAATCACATTTCTGAGGTCTGCTTATTCAAAATTTCTGGTTGGCTATTTGGATACAGTATACAAGTTAAAAAATGTACTTCATGTAATATCAATTTATGAAGCTTCGGTTTAAGAAAACCTAAATTACAATAAAAAAAAGTCCCTTAGTTGATTTTCTAAAAAAAAACAAGTTATAAATTTTTTCCCTATTTTTCATAAATTTTCCTAAATGCCGTAATAATGAAAATACTGTAGCTAAAATAAAGTAGCTTTTTTTTTTTTTTACTGCATCAAGTTTTATTTGTATGTCTGCTATACATCCATCAACCTCTCTGTAACACACTCACACACACAGAGTTTGCTGAGTTTCAGTCATTACTTACATGCCAGCTCCATACAGTTTCTATGAATTTATGAAGACCCAACCTCCAACCAACTTGGGATTATCAATTTTCTTAAAACCCCGCCTGCGAAGACAGAGAGCAATCTAATTTTAAAAGCTTCAAGGGCATTACAGTACAGTATTTTTTTATCTTACCCTGCCTAAGGCTTTCTCTAAAGTCTTCCAACCCTTTCAGTTCAGGCCAAGAAAACAGAAGACCATCAGTTGTTTCACCAAATGGGTTGAAATTAAAGCGGGAGTCCACATGGTCCTTAGCTGGGCCGGTACATCAACCACATCTGTGAACAAATAAATATGTTTATGTTAAACATATTCTTATTTTCTTTTCTAAATACATACAGTTAATATCACTAGAAGGTTTTGGACAGGCAACAGCTGGATAATTGACATTATCACTATCTAGTACCTGGCCAGACAGTTAAAATTTAGTTTGTTTATAAATGTGTAACCTCTCCATTAATCCCGGAATCCCCTCTCAGTATTCAGAAGTTTAAGAATATTAGTGTTATGGTGGGGCAAATAGCAGTAAATATTAAATGTTTTATTCCACACAATGGTGTTTCCAGAAGCACATGGGAAAGGTTGGTTTTATCAGTCCTTTGAACTTGAACACCAAGCATGTTATCCTGTTCTCCCCTGCACTCTAACTTATTTAATTTTTTGGTGAAAAAAAGGTGTAGTTTTATTTGTGTGCATAGTAATATTTCTTGTATGAACTAGAATGCTTTACTGTACAAAAATATAAATAAGAGGAGATGAGTGGCATGTAAGTGGGCGGCTAAGATATATTACACAGGAGTTCAGGTGCATTCCCATTTACATTAACCTATTTTTATAAAATCCAATAAAACCATATTATCAGCTGGATAATCTGGTCTGGATTTAAAAAATAAATAAATTCATGATCTAGGTGATCCTAAATATAACATTATATCTACATCATTTATTTTCTTCCTTCACTATGAATTCAGGTTTTATACATACAAAGTCATGCAAAAACATGCCAGAAATATGCCCACACACACACCCACATATATAAGTCTCAAGCATAAAAGCGTAAATTTTACTGCTGTTTAAACTTACAGTCTGAAGAGGGAATCTGTTTTCTATGTTTTTCTCTCCAAGAAGCTGATAATGTCATTCGCGAACTCTTAGCAGTCCACCCCCATACAAGAGTAACTCTGACATATCACGCTGAGAAATACCTGCGAATAATGTAGAAATTAAGATCTCAACTAATAAATACATATTTATCTATCAATCTATCATCTTTGTTTCCCTCCTATTTTGTGCTGGGTGAATAAAGGGTTAGAAAACCTTAAAGAATAGATTGCCCAGGATATGTATATAAAGTGCTGAGAGAACAAGTAAATACCCCACATATACTGTATACTGTGTGCTTTATGTCCTTACCTTCCATATAGTAACCTGAAGTACAACTTAAAATAGCCCACTGACTCAACATTTTCTTCTACATCATTTTTGTATCAAATAAAATTTTAGTCAAAGTCATAAATACCATCACTAAATTTTTATAAACATGATGTCTCTCTTTGAGAGATCCACTCACAGCGCGTTCATTAAAAAGAGGCGCATGTTCGATAGGCCCACTTGCATCAGTTTGAGCACTAGATGTCATCTTCGAGGATGACAACTAGGCGAATACTTGTGTAAGGTATTCTTCTGTGTATATATATGCAATAAATAATGTGATGTTTCAGCAGTTAATGTAGTTACCTTGTACAGTAATGGTCACCCACAAGATCACCAGGAAACAACTGCAGATCCAACCCCAGAATAGTAAACACAGTTACCAGTACATTTAGTATTTGTATTTTTCTTTATTTTCTGGCTTATTTAATATGTCTGATATAACTTGATCTTTAGAAATGACGACCACCTTTCCCCTAGCTTCAGGTCTCCATTATACTCGGGGTTTACTGTACACGTTGTGCCTAATAGCAACTCTGTGGGGATGTAGTTTATTTTCCTGCTTCTTCGACCAAACCCTTTATTTTAAAGATTAATATATTCGAGCTCTCCCTACTAATGGTCTTAAGCCTCACTCACCACATCAGGTGTTTACCACGTACTCTCAAGCTCATCATATTGAAACTCAAGGACTCAATTTGGCCCATATTACATCTCATAATGATAGAGATGTACAGTATCTCTCTTAGCCTTACAATAGGTTGAATACATATCAAGTTTTGATAAGTCAAGTGACAGTGGATCTATTCTAACCAATGCTAACACTTCTGTTTTGTATAACCAACTAGTTCTTTATTCTCTAAAGCAGCGGCTTCATAGGCAGGGTTGATCTCCATCCATCTTCGTAATACCAAGCAGTAATCAACACTTTCAGGATCTGCTACATCCTGCATCATCACAATCCTGGAAGAGCATAAAATTTTTTGTCAGAGAACTGACAATAAATTCCCTAATGGAATAGCTCTGGGTAAGCAAGTCCATTGAATTGTTTTGAAAGCAAAACATTTGTAGCTGTACAGGTACTGTAATTATATACTAGAAATCACATTTTAAAAAGATGAAACTTGTTTTAAAATATCCCCAATAAAATTCCTTTGAGTAGAGACTATTTCTTCTTTGAATCTGCCCTAACATAGTGTATGTGTTTCTACTATGGTGTTACAGGAACACATCAGCAGTCCATGTAATAATAAAAGCAGTATATGAGAATGTGACTAAGGACAAGAAATTCTACTTCAGACAATTCATAAAACATCAAACCTTGAAGGGTGTTGTGAGGGTCATGTGTGACAAAAGTTGCTACTTTTAAGGATGAGATAGAAACATCTCCAGGGGTGCAACATCTTAAGAATTGGTGAGGGCAATCCTTGAGGCATCCTGCAATGGTTAATACAGTACCATATTATTACACACACAAAACAAACAATCCAAATATTTAATTCACACACAAATAATATGCAGTAGTTTTAAACACTTTGGAGTCTTTACTTTGCATCAACAGATCTATATCAATCTGACTGATTCACTGACATGGAAGTTTGGATCATTCTCCACTGGAAACAACTTATCACAAATTCTGCATCACTTTTATTGCTGGCATCAACAATATACTGATTACTGTAGCTACTCCTAAAAAAAAGCTGGCTGGGCACATAAAAGCACAAAAATCAATGATGATGAAGTTTGTCCTTTCCATAATTTTAAGCTGGCAAAGGTTCATAACTCCAATTGAATATAGATGAAAACACTGAATCTTTGAACCTACATACCCACATTTCAATTCATACCACAAAAACATTCCCTAGTCACTAAATAAATGAACCAAAAGGTTATCAACATAGCCCAAAGATAAAGAGACAGACAGCAGATGCCCAATGATAAATTTACTTCATATTCACACAAAGAGACAATGGATATTCTTCAGTACCAAACGATTATACCTTAGGGATGTAAAAAGACTAATAGAAATATAAATTACAGATGACATTAAAAACAACAAAAGAAAAAAAAGATAGCCTGTAAAGGAATTCCAAAAGTCCCTGAAGTGTGAATTTTTGTTGGGTGGCAAACAAGATATATACACTCCACTAGTTTCGAGGTCATCAATGGGCCTATGTTATACAATTTTCTCTGTTTTTTCTTTAATCCTACTTATTTGTGTGTCACAGTACCCAGTAAAGCATACCATAGCACTAACACATTGTCATAATGAGGTCCAATGGCCTAAGGCTGAATTTATGCTGATGTCACGTTAATATTGGTATTGCTTTTCTTCCAACTTCGGTTTTGATGGCTAGGAATTTTCGCTAATCTGGAACACATCTGGTTCCAAGCTTCCTGGATTAGTGAGATCCAACCTGCACCAGTACAACACAAGTTATATCAACACACCTTTGGGGAACTCCAATTAAGTTTAGGAAAGGCACTTCCTCCAAGCTTCTTGATGGCATCTCTGATCTTTGTGCTGTACTCCTCCAACTTAGGACCCTGAAAATAAAGTTAGCAAGGATAGAAAAAATTGCCACAAAAGTATTTTGATAATTTACCCAGCATTAAATTCATGTACTACAGTCAACAACAAAAATTTCTGCACCTTTATGGCGTTATACATTATGACACACCGAACCAAGAATTCTGAACAACACTCATTTACGCAGGTGACGCCAGTTGATTTCTCTTTACTGTATTAACTATAAGTGACGCAATGCATCACACAACACGAAATACCAACCTTACCAAATTAACATGGCCTCGGTCAGTGATCGTTGCAGAGGCCATCAGACCAAGGGGTGCAGAACATTTTTTTGCTGACTGTACAGTATGCTTAGTTTAAAAGTGACTTTCTATGTAGTCTAAGTAACATGTATCTTCCCAACTTTGGCTGATGAATATTAAAACCTGGTGGATTATACTGAAAATGATTACATCTGGTCACTTGGTAAGCTTGACTTGATACAAGCTTCGAGTTCTTCAATGAATGATGGTTCAAACTAGTGGACTTATTATACTAATGAATTATCATTGGAGAAAGTAAGTAATTATGTGAATCAATGATGTAAATGGCTACCCCTTTCCAAAGCTTCAAAGGCCTGCCAACTGTTTATCAGATATGCAGAGGCATGGTTGGATAGCTCAACCTTTCTGTGATGTATTTACCAAAACTTGGGGAAATAGTTGTTTCTTAGATTATATAAGAGTTATAAGTTGCTCACAACACACTCTATATACCTCCACTTATCATATACTACTGGTGTCAAACTTGCAGTACCTAAGAGATCAACAAACAATTCTCAACAGTAAGACTTATCAAACAAAAGTTGTCACTCACTTGCACAACACAGCCTGATGTCTCACAGTGATCCCAGTCTTCAGTGTCTTCTTCCTCTTGTGTGTTCCTCTTATAGGTTGGCTCTGGCTGTGAACCTTCTGGGAGCACCAGAGTCCCATTATCTTGCATATAAGCCAGGACCTCTGGTGTTAAAGGCAGTAAAATGCTGAAAAAATGAATGCATCATGATTTTTTATCCTTCTACATTTCATAATTACAAACTACTGAACTTATGTACAGGTTCTCTATAAAACATTGGCAATGTATATTGAGGGAATGTAAAGCAAAAGATTGGATGGCACATGATAGAAGGACTGACCAAGAAGGTAGTGGAGGGACTGAGTGACAGGGGAGGAGGATGAGCCTGATCACTTGACCACTTGCATCTTATTACCTACCATACTTTTTACATCCATACTGATGCTTTTTCTTGACTGTTTGGTCACATTTCCAATAATACCACTTATATACCATAAACCAGACATTTAGGGTAAAAAATAAGATAAAAACTGTGAGTACCAATGGAGTAGACACACAGGCATTCAAAAGTGGCAGAGCCAACTGGCTGAAGAGTAATCAGTATACCTTACTCTAACTGTCCAAAAACACCTCTTGAAAAAATGGGGGGAGCATTTAATATTTACTGATAGTGGTATCACATTGAAATTTTGAACAGGTCTTTTAAATAAAAAAAAATTCTGGTACAAAATTCCAAAAACTGCCATAGGAATACAGGTTGGGCCCAGCTAATCTGGGACCCAATAGTCCGGTAGCTTTGATGGTTTGGGACGGTGCCATAGCTCACTTCTAGTGACTGTTGCCACTATTTTACCTTTAAACACTTATAATTTACCCCTATATATGCCTCCTAAGAGACCAGAAAGCAGTGAAAGAGGTTGTAATGCTGCAAAACATAAGTATGTGACAATAACTATTTTAGAAAACATGTTTATACTGAAGAAATTAGACAGTAATAGTACATTTTATGTATTATTTTGCCTCTTTTAACCTCGACTTCGATGGTTCGGAATTTTCGCTAATTCAGAACTGGTCTGGATCCAAACTTCCCGGATTAGTGAAGTCCAACCAGTATATATTTTTCCATAACATCATTGACATCTGAAATATAGACCGGGACACACCAAACAGAAACTGCTATTCTGCCGTGAGTAATGTCTGAGAACAACACTATCGTACCACCAGTTGTTGTTTGATTTTGTTCATTTTTTCCAAAGATGTTCTCATCATCATAGTATTTTAAAAGAGGTGACAACTTTTTGTTTTAATTATAAGTATTTATTTATATTTTTTAGTTTTTATCTATCTATGATCATACTGTAAATCACCTGTAGTGGGCAGAGCTTGAAAACTGGTGGAATTTCGGTGGTAAAACACAATGAAAAACTAATCATATGACTTTATAATGATGCCTCTACATGCTTTGTACACGAAGAAATTAATTATTTACCATAAATACTCCTCCAAAAAATCTGCCATTGTCGGCACGTGTTGTCAACTGCTGTTTGTTTACAACTGACCCACTTGGCCCCAGCGTGTTCTCACGTCCACAAAAAACGTAAAATTACACCATGAGGCTTCAACAAAGTTGCTTTCATTGGTACCAAATACTGTATGAAAATAAGTACTTTGTGTTTAATATGACATGGGGGCCTGGAGGTCAGTTTCTATTAGGCTCTAGTAAATGTTAACTCTTTTAAAATACATGTAGTTACTATAATGATAAGAACCCGTGAAAAAAAAAGTAATTATTTGGATGAAGGGAATTTTTGCATTTACACACCACACATTTCTACCACTAATCTATTATCATGTTCGAATAAGATGTCTAATTTTAAGATAATTTTCATCTATTACATTGCCGGCGGAAATGTATAATAAAGGAGAAAGAGTATCCAAAATTTTCTCTATTTTCTTCCATTAATCTTGCGCCATTATCGCCTACCTCACCTCCCACACTGCGTGTCTTCTTCATAAATCATCACGAGCATGCGTTCCCGTACACGTCACGTGGCCAATCAAAAGCGTTTTTGTTTTTGCAACCAATTAAAGTGATTTAGGGTTTAATTCACGGTATTTTTGGCCCAATCAAATTCGAGTTTAATTTGGGTCTCATATTTCGGAATTCAAATTCATTTCCGACCATGGAAGTCTGCGATGGGTGTCACTTAAATTATATGGAGCTAACTGCGAGTTTTGGGGAAAAAAAACTAAGAAACTATAGCATTTTTCCGATTGCATACTGTTCTTCCAACCTCATTAAAGTGTACTAAGAGCAAGACTGAATGTAAATATCGCACAGACCAACATACAGTATGTGGCGTTGTGTAAGAATCTCAGAATCCAAAGACAAACAAAAACCTGGCCAATAAGGTAAGAAATATGTGATTCCATCATATGGTGAGAGTCAGTTAGGTTAGGTTAGGTTTTTTTTTTCTAGTGGTTTTTTGGTGTATTTTGCCATGTTTTGGTTTTTTTGGAAAACGTCCAAAAAAAAAATCTATAAAAAACGGCTAATTTCCGCCAGAAATGAAGGTCATATTCGGTCTAAAACACACAAATACACTAGAAAAATATATTTTTTTACTTTCTAACAGAGTGTGGTGTGACAGTGAAAATTTACCCAAAACTGTGTCTAACCCCCAGTCATGTTAGCCCCCCCCCCCCAACAACTTGTGGTGGTAATGCTGCTTCATACTTCACCAATACCATACAAAAGACTACAATGTTGTCACTTCGATTTTATTATTCAGTATCATCCAAACAACATCTGAAAAAGTGGTGCAATTCCATACTCCTTGTGGTGCTAAATGTCTCCTCCACCTTTACCAAAATGGAGCAATAAAGCCTAAAACTGTTTAACAGTAGGTACTGATGTGGAGGTTTAATGCAGTCCCAAAACCAAGACAATGTCCTCAACTCACCTCTTAATGGTACATTTTTTGAACTTGTCATACCATGACGGAAAGCTACAGCTAAGAACGTCTTGTACTTTCATTGTAAATCGATTTTTGTCTAAACTTAACGGGCAGTGAGTCGTTGAGAGGGTGGAGGTGTAATGATCGGCCCCACACACGTCAGGGCTGAGGTGTTACTGAAGGACGAAAACTACCAGAAATAACACAACAGGAAGCGCCTCAATTAACATGACTGACCATGTTCTAATACTGCATTTCTTACTTATCTATTTACCTGAAGCTTCATATCATATTTTTTATTTTTTCTGAGGAAATATGTACAACATCGAAGCAATATGTAATACATAAACAGTCGTCCACATTTATACTGACGACTGCTATTATCCTTTTGTCTCCACAAATGAAATATAAATTTTGATAGGGAATTCCAGAGCACATAAAGAAATAAAAAACGTACTCTCATTACATGATTATGAAAAATAATTAAACGCTTCCTGTTGGTTTATTTTCGTAGTTCAGGAGGAATCAGAAAATCGTCTGTGTTTACGTCGCTCAATGCTGAAAATGGTTAAGGCTTTACTTATGACATACACTGTTGGCAGCTATCAAACAGGGAGGTACTGCCCCTGGGAAGATGTTGGAAGCATAATGTGTTGTCTAATGGTAGACCCTGCTGCCATATGGCATAACAATATTGTGACCAAGTCCCAGGTTGATGACCTGACTTTCTGCCTCATTTACACACAATTGCAGGGTCTTGTGGGGTATGAGATGTTTGTCTGTACTCAGGATGGAATGGAGAAAGGAAACTCACGATGTGCTCTCTATATACATGTTGTATTGGATGTACAATGCAGCTTGGTGCTGGGAAGGCAGCATGGTTACAAGCGTGATGTAGAGAGAGCTGGTTGGTGAGGACGCTCAGAGAAGGACAGCTTGTGGGTCGCCATGCTCGCCAGCGGGAGAGAGGACCGCCAGGCAGGCGAGGAGCGAGGACCGCCAGGCAGGCGGAGGTGTTGCTGGCTGGTTGGTGTAGGTAGAAAGAGAGACAGATCACCACGAGGTCAGGTCTTAAATAGCGGGGGTAGGCGTGGCTTAGCAGTTGACCCCCGCTCCGTGGTGTATGGCGGCGCTGGTTGACCTAGACCACGAGGCATACACTGGGAATTGGTGGGGTCGGCTAGGCAGCGACAAACAGCGTTTGTAGGGGAGAATTCCACTACAATACTCCCCCTTCCCTCCAGGCTGTGTAGGAGACTTGTTGTCTGCAGGGTTGCATAGCACATGTGAGGCAGAACGGGCGGTGCGTGCCTCATGTGAGACAACGGCGATGGCGTGGATGAGCCGGTCGCTGGATACAACTGTCTATATACACACTATCTGTGGGAGAAGAGAGGGAGAAAAAGGGTGTGTGGAGGCGTTGAATTTTGTTCTTCCCTCACGGCAGGTACAGAGTCGTCAGATGCGCCTGCTGGGGTGTGTGGGCCTGGGTCAGGAGCAGGGGCTGCGTCAGCAGAAGCGGATGAGGGCTCGTGACAGCAGCTGGGTCCACGACAGCAGCAGGGTGCAGGACATTAGCAGGGAGTACCTGGGGGAGAAAAGAGGGGTGTGTGTGTGTCCGCACTCAGGAACAGAGGCCGCATCAAGGGCGGCAGGGGTTACTGCTGGGCCGGGGTCGGCGTCTGAGGCAGGACGGGTGTGCTGGGGTCGGTAGGACGTGGTGCTTAGGGCAGGAAGAGGAGCTGGTGTCTGCTTAGAGTAGCAGAGCTGCTCTAGGGTGTCTAACCTGCGGTGTAGAGACAGTAGCTGTAGAGCCGATGAGAGCTGCTTCTGGGTGGATAAGCCAGTCTTCCATGTTGCTTGAAGACTGGGAGCGTGATCAGTTTCTCCTCCATCCTGTGTGAGTGCGAATCTCCGGGAGTCACCATTTGTGGGGTATGAGATGTTTGGTTCACACTCAGGATGGGATGGAGAAAGGAAACTCACAATGTGCTCTCTATATACATGTTGTATTGGATGTACAATGCAGCTTGGTGCTGGGAAGGCAGCATGGTTACAAGCGTGATGTAGAGAGAGCTGGTTGGTGAGGACGCTCAGAGAAGGACAGCTTGTGGGTCGCCATGCTCGCCAGCGGGAGAGAGGACCGCCAGGCAGGCGGAGGAGCGAGGGCCGCCAGGCAGGCGGAGGTGTTGCTGGCTGGTTGGTGTAGGTAGAAAGAGAGACAGATCACCACGAGGTCAGGTCTTAAATAGCGGGGGTAGGCGTGGCTTAGCAGTTGACCCCCGCTCCGTGGTGTATGGCGGCGCTGGTTGACCTAGACCACGAGGCATACACTGGGGAATTGGTGGGGTCGGCTAGGCAGCGACAAACAGCGTTTGTAGGGGAGAATTCCACTACAGTCTCAATTGTTTCTTTTACTTTGACAACACAACATATAGCGTTTCTCACTATTATCATTTTTTATTTTTATGGTCCTTTTATTATTATTATTATTATTATTATATTTTTATTTGATGTATATTTAAATTTTTAATAATACTAATAGTATTATTATTATATTTTCGCCCTCAGGCCCTGATGTGGGTCATTGACCTGTGCCCTGGTGGGCTTAATGATGTGATGATAGTCAATTTCAATTTCAATTGTTTAGATGATAGTCTTCGTTATCAGTTACACCAGTCTATTAGTTATGAACTTATGACTGTGGTATATTGTAACAAGGTTTATTCTTTTTTCAATCCGTGAATATGTTTCAAATTACAAATAGATATTAATTTCAAATACAGTATGAGCTAAAAAGGCATTTATGAAGGTCTATAGTATTATGTACAAGGTCTGTTTAACTGTAGCATGGTAGTTACGCTGGCATCACACAGGCCATTGTAAATCTGTGAGGCACACAGTCGATGCACTACTTTACACCTTTACAATAAGCTAAATTTCACAAAGTACTATTTTTACTTTTATCTTCTTCACCACTGATCAGCTTGTTAGCCGCTCGGGCGGTCAGTCACGTCTGTTACACACCGTTGGCAACAAACATATTATGCTTCCTCTACAAATGGAATCAATTACGATTACAAGTCCATGAATACAATTACACTTTCTTCAAAAGTCATGTAATCGATTACATTAAAAACTGTCAAGGACAGATCCAGGGGGGGGGGGGGTCCAGAGTCCCCCTTTTCACCAGAAAATTCCAATATTTTTTCTTTAATGCAATATTGTACTCTTTTTTTTTTACTTCCATTTATATTCTTCGCCACTGATCGGCTTGTTAGCCACTTGGGCGGTCGGTCACTTCTCTGATACGCACTGTTTGCAAATACCGGGCTTACACTGGCTCCCGAATATATCGGAACCTGCTCCAGTACTGGTCAAGTCTGGCCTTGAATGATCTCACACTCGGTGCTGTTACAACGCTCTCTGGCAGATTGTTCCAAAAGTTCACAACTCTTACTCTGAAAAAATTTGCCCTCACAGTTTTCTGGACTTGTGGCTTCTTCAACCTTGAGCTGTGGCCCCTTGTGGGGCGGACGTCTGCCAGCTCCAGGTATGTGCATTCGACTAAGTGATGCCCCCTGAGATGTTTATACACTTCGATTAGGTCGCCTCTCACCCGTCTATTATAAGCTAGGTAGTTGCAGGTGCTCCAATCTCTCTAGGTAATCGAGGTTCTGTAGAATAGGCACCCGGCTAGTGGCTCTCCTAATGGACATTTTAAATAAATTGACAATCTCTATCATACCTCAGGGACCAAAAGGGGTGACACTACTCCAGACGGGGAAGGCACCTACTAGTTTCATTGCCTGATTCACCCTCTCACTATTTACTATTGACTGAAGAATATCTCCTAATATCAAGTGCACTTGGCTTCAAAATGTCCATGATATTAGTCAGATTTTTAAAAAAATTGGGAGGGCTTACAGCGACCCAGCTAGGTGGGTCGCTGCACTTGCCATGTTCCTCCACCTGCAGTACAACTTCTTGGACCCACCCCTTTTGATATTCCTGACTGTAATAATGATTCCTACAATTCCAGATTACATAAATAAAAGATCTAAATATATAATCACTGAATTCAATAGCTCACCACTATGGTCACCTGCAGGTAAACAAATGTATCCCAAGAAAATAAAAACTTGCATGACAAGGTTCACTTGTGTGGGGGGAAAATATCAATGGCAACTGTTCCCTGAAGTTGACTGGGACTCAGAATCTGATGGAAAGTAAAAAACAGTTTATTTCAAATATTTTTATATTTTAAGGTCAATTTTGACCAAAATGTGAAGAATTTGTACAGTTTCGTAAAATCTTAATTTAAAATCACATGGCTGACTGACATCTGATGCAATCACGCCCTGATCTTAACACAATAATTTCTAACCATAAATCTTGTTGAAAAGATGATCATTGGAGTTCTATATTCAATTGATAAAAGTAACTTTATTAACAATAATAATATTTATCATTAATGAACAACTACTGTATCTAGATTTGTGTAACTTTCCAGAATTACTTGTAATAACATTATTAAACTATATTTTTCTCATACAAAGGTTCATTCAAAAGGATCCTCTCAAAACCAAGGCGCTCCAGGTTGATGGTGCGGTACTCCCCAAGTAAGATGCATTCCATGATAGCTCGGCCCACACCTGCTGCTTGTTGGATACCTGTCAAATTATACTGCATTAGAGGCGGTTTGATAATCCCTCACAAAAGGAAATATTTATTAAAATGTCTTTGAGACAGTTCCTTCAGTGATTCTTTTATGAGGCAGAGCTACAAAATGTGTACAGTGTAGGTAATCACCTTTCCAGAAAGCAAATATAGAGTATCCCTCAATAACTCTGCATTTGATAACTTGGAATTTCATATAACTCAGCAGAGATATGGTCTCGGAATGTATTATAGTACAACTCGGGAAATGGAGAGATATACAAAATTATCTAAGAAAATCTCAGCATATCTGGCCACCTGCATCACCTACCATGCATCTATATATCACCTATGATGCTTCATTCTTCGCCTGCAGTGTTGGTAAGTCTTACTTTTTTACATTAAGTAATTACGTGTACACATACAAAGTACAGGTATATGGGTCGATAATTTTTTATCCTTGTATTTTTGTAGGAGGGGGAAGTGCCTCGATAAGTCAGAATTTGGAATAACTCGGCAAGGCCGGAGCCCCATATGACTTGGGTAACTTCTTGAGTACAGTGACTTAATCCCTTGAGTTCTTTTTCCCATTTCATTGAAGATGATGGCATTGTACTCAAGGGGTGAAGCCACCATAATACAACGATTGTACTCAAGGTGTTAAGAAAAAGAGTTAGACTTCTTTAATGTCAGTGATTGAAAATCTAATGGTTTTTTTGGCATCTTTTGTGTGTGCCCATATCAACTCTCTATCTTCCCAAATAAGACATAACCTATTGAATGTAAAATACTGTTACATAGTTTCCAGTACAGGGTATTTGACCAATGGGTGATGTGTTTGTGTGTGTTTCCTTTCTCTGATCACAATATTGCCTTAATCTTCACCAATTCATTAATCAAGGGGTAATATCTGCCTACAATAAAAGCTCTTGACGCATGTTGTGACTTCTGTTCAAAATCTAAAATCAAACATAACTTTAAAATTTAGGCAATTTTCTCCCAGTTCCTGTATGTCTCTGAATCACTTTCTCTCAGCTCCCATAAGTCTCTGAATCATTCTCCCTCTCTCAGCTCCCACAATATGATATGGTATGCTCAAGACCCTTCTCTCCTACTTCCCATATGAGAATGATTGGAATACTATTCACCACCAAGCCCTATACATCTTCATCACTTTACCCACAACCTTACCATGACCACTGAAGCCTGTAGCAATGAACATATTGGAGACAAGTGGATGGAGTCCAATGATGCCATTCTGGTCGAAGGTATTATAATCATAGTAACCAGCCCACGAGGTATGAAGCTGTCAATGATAAAGGAAAAAACTTATTATATGCAAGACTGAAAAATTTACTTAAACAAATTTTCACACTTAGCAAAGAAGACACCGAGGCAGATCTAATTTACTAGATTTTAATTATTATTTTTTAATCCAGGCCATACAACTGAAAGCTAGATAAAACAATAAACTTTAAATTCCAAGAGGGACCACCTGAATTGTGGTAGGCACTATACCCAAATATGCATAATAATCTCAGCTAATAAAGAAGTATCCCTCTGAGACATTTGGATAAGGCTAAATATCCAATAAACTGACCATAATATTCCCAAACTCCTTAAATCCCCTAGGCTCATGACTTAATGGAAGAGGACAAACCCTACACCTGCATGCAACTGAGAATGACCAAGGAATGAACTAGCTGAATCTAAGAATGGAGTGACCCAAACTTTTAATTCTGGCTCAATTAGTCTTATATGAAATGAATATTGACCTTCTAAATAACTGATAATTTGTAAGTAAAGTAGATAAAGCAGCTTTCAATAAGAGACAGAGCAAATTAATGATATATCATCAAATAACAAGTGAAATGTGAGGCTTGTTACATGCCAACAAGAAAATGAAGAGTAAGAGATGAAACCCTTATTTACTCTGTTGGGTTTTATTTTTGTATAGCCCTGGAGCTGTTCCTTTGTGTGGAGTATTTTCACACACTGATGGAAGGAACAATCCAGGTTAAGGGAAAAAGGAACGACAGGGAGCTCTCTTTTAAAATAATCCTACACAATGCACCAGCTAATATGCACACTAAAGGCTTCTTCCATGTTTATTGTTGAAAAGCAAAAGAGAATACTGTACAATCATTCCTATATGGAAATATTATGTAAAGGCCTAATCAATCCTGAGGTTTGAATTACCATGAGTCTCTTCATAAATGATCTTAGAATATTTAATACTGCCAACACCACTTGAACCAACAGAAATGTTTGGATAACACAATCCCACAATGAGAGCCAAGACCTTACCAATAAACATCTTAAAATGCTAAGTTGGTTCTTAAACTCCCCATGAAAACCCACTAAAACCATCAGCCTAGATTATAATTTTGTGGAGTGAATATCCATGAATCCAGGCAAGAGAGTTCTCCCAGAATATCACATCTTCATTTGGTCATTTACAAATATAAACACTTTTAAAACTATGCAAGTGCTCCCATGTCTTAGTGCAAACCATGACCTCTAATGTCTCACTGTGAATAATGGTTGTTAAGGCACAGTGACTTCATTTCTCATTACCATGTCCAAAGGCTTTACTGAAGAACTTCAGTGCACATATTCAAAGACAAATCTGAACTGGCCCAAAATAGAAAAAAGTCTATTCTAATACATCAATACTACACGAACAGGTAACACGTCATCTGTGAATTACATACCTTTAGATTTTCAAAAGAAGGAACACGATTGGCTATTGTTGGCCATACTTCATCTTCAAAAAACTTTTCATCAACTTTCAGGTCATCAACTGGTGGTTCATTATCTTCATGTGGGGACTGTCCACAGAGGTAGTTGCCGCCTAGACCCTCACGCCGGAAGTAAGTACCATTAGGATCAATCACCAATGGGCTGTTTAGTCCAGGACCATCTGGTGCATGGACACAATATACATATCTTTTCCTGGAGGAGTACCAATAACATGACTTCTGGTTAAAGAAATATAACCTATACTGTATTAGATAAATTATATACAACATCAGACAAAACTTGTTTTGTATATAATGAGTTTGCTTTATGATTGTTCATATAATTTTAACAATTCAATATTTACAATTTATTGAACATACCTCGGCTCTACAGGTATTGGGGCGGCCATTACACCATCTCCCTTCCCAATACCCACAAGGCGACCTATTTCACCCGACCACGCTCCTGCCGCTAACACTAATATTGCAAAATGAATATTGCGCTTTTCTCCATTTGCAAGTGTAATCTGTATCCAAAATATAATACATGTCAGTTATTATACTTATATAAGACTGATGTATATATTGACCATTATTTTTAACCTAATACCTGTATATAATACTGTACAGCAAATCACTCTGGATCACCATAAAAATACATATCATGGTGACAGAGAGTAAAGAAATGATGCTCTGGAGTGATTAAGGTATTTGACAGGTACCTTCACTTAACAGTGGTTTTCTTCATTTGTTCTGTAAGTTATATGAGCAGCGGTAGGAAACATCTCTACCGTGCTGCCTCTTCCCCGTCACCTTACCAAGTTGTGGTGTGACCTGGGGAGAAGAGAACTGCTACCAGCACCCGGTATCATACTGTTAATACACAATGCACAGGAAATAGTGCTCAACCCTTTATCACTGACAACCATTAACAGCAGACAGTGTACTGGTATGCTAAACATTTTAATTCACAACTTTGAGCCGCTCCCTAATCTCAAATCTGTACGAAACTAAGGCTAATTATTTTAAGTCAATGATTTGACTCTACGAGATACCGGAACCTTGATAATCAGGAACAGTATTGTATACTTTTCTAGTGTTTAGCGTCCAGTAAACCCCTGTTATTTGTGGGGGTTAGGTTCCAAGGAATGGCGCAAATAGGCAAAATCAAGAATAGCAACTTATACTACCTTAGTGCGGCAACACTTATCCCCTCTTTTAACTTATCTAATAATTCAACTTTCTTTGTCATGGTCATCACTGACTTCTGCCTTTTACATTTCACTCCACTAGCATCAATAGCACTGGCACTAGGCAGTTTTTTATGGGAAGCTAATCCCCTTTGTACCTTCTATGAGACTAAGAGATTCTGTCCTGTGATTCTGGTTCCAATCGATCGAGTTGTTCAGGAATTGATGGACTCAATAAAAGGTGTAACACTGGCATTATAATTCTAAGGATAAGCTATCCCCTGTAATTTGATATTGAATAACTGTTCATATGCTAAACAAAGGTGACTAAAACTTCTCCATACAAAGTAGCAACAAGGGTTGACTAATTGGTAAATATGCATGAAAAAATGTTTTCTAATTAAACCAAACTGTTGGTCAATACTGTACTGTCCTGATATTCACAGAGTTGACCGATGCACCTAAAATAATATGCTATGGCTTTTAAAATCTCTGTCAATTTTATTTTATATCTTATAAGAGGAAACTGTCGATGTACTCACCTCAGCCTTTCGAAGATTTTTGACGTTTGATCTGTAATCTGTTTCTAAAATTGCATCATCAAGGATCTGACTCTCCAACCCAGTAACCCTTCCATTAACATACTGGGTACCAAGAGAGACAGCCTTACGTCGTAAACTGAATAAGAGGCTCCACGGGTCAAACCTAGGATAAGAGTGATAGTGGTAAAAATGAATGACCGATTCGGAATTCCCCTTTCATGCAAATCATTAACATCATGGTAAATATGTGCAGGTCAGATGAGACAGAATAGAAGGACAGTCAGTTCTGAGAAACTTGGGAAATTCTACACTCAGATTAGGACCAAGAACCCAAGATTCTAAAAGAAGAACCCAGCATCTCTTATGCAAGTGATTCCCTTCTTTCTAAGGGTCTCTAAAGAAAATCACCAAAATCTTGTTAAAAATCCAAGAGCTCTTTTCAGACCTTGAACCAGAAAAATGTTATACAATATCCTAAAATGAAAGTGAGGAATTTCCTAAGCCTCTTATGCACAGGAATATTCAGATACTTCCTATATGCACTTCAAAGCTTTAGAGGTTTACAAAAAAAATTTCAATCGATTCCAGCTTCTAAACTTAAAATCTGGGATGAAAAAATCCAGCCATATGAGGTCTACAATAACACTCCAATTTCCTGATGCTCTCCAGACACACGAAAGAGCCTCAGCATAAGGTGGCTTGGCCTTTATTGCTGAATTATATCTTTATGTAACACCGGAGATGTATACCATATTTTTTAGCATATAAGGCGCACTGTTTTGTCTGAAAAATGGCAAAAAAAATCAGCTTGCGTCCTGTATGTGAAGTTGCGGTCTCCCGTAAGCTAATGAATCCCCCAGTTGCTGTCTTCAGCTGGCTAAATTCTACCCAACCTAACTCCAGAGCTAAAAATATGTTATTGCTTCTAACACATTACAGTGTTATTATTTTTATTAATAAAAAAATATATATATATTGTAAACATAAAAGCTCAATTTATAACTACTGTACTGATGATGATAACTTGAGACGATTAACATCTGTACTGCAAACACCCAACTCTTCAGAGGTAGCTAAGCAAAAACCATTTCTGAACTCTTACAAGCATTACAATCTATTAATGCCATACGTATAACATTAATTTTTAAATCTACATGATACAAATGAAGATTTACAGATAACTTTCTCTTCACATTTGCATCTGTTAATTTTAAGTAAGAAAAACAGTATGGTACAGATACTGTACTGTACTTCTATTTTGCTTACCACCCTTCATTTTCCAAGCCCAAGACTCCTCCTTCAACACCGTCTGTATTCAGCCACGGGAACTTATCCTTGAGCTGCGCCGCTGACATGAAATCCACCTTGGCACCCAAGTCTCTGCAAATGTGAGAGAATCTTAAGAAAAGCTCAATAAGCAGCAATGAAGTAATTCTTTGGAAACATGATTTTCTGAAAGTAACAGAGTTAATTTACCCTAATTCAATCTTAAACACTGAACACTTAATAACTTGTGTAGGGGGTCCCCTCTCTGCTGAATCAAATCACCTGGCATTAACCAAACAAAGTATTAAAAGTGGTGTCCCCATAGTGAAGGGGCTAATAAGTACCTACCTCTGTAATGTATAATTTTCCTCCAGCTGGTGTACCCCGGCCTCTGATGCCAGTGTCAGGTAACCATGGGGATTGAACTGCATATCAGGAGGATCCATCCCCTCTACTCCTAGAAGCTGGGGAGCCTTCCTCAAGAACTCCATCCCATACATTGACAGTTGGATATTTTCTGGCACACTGAACTGTTGCCGGATGCCACCCACTGAGAGGACAGTAGACGCTCTTGTATACTAAGGAGAGAATGAAAAACATTGCCTTCATCTTTAGATAATCAACTACAAACACCATCAATTTAACAAGCTGTCAGCCTGAAACTCTACTGTTATTCATGATGCACTAGCAGCCTATCGTTTATCTGCTGTCTGTATTGTAAAAGTCATTTCACAAGTTTAATTTTTGTTTTATATACAGTGCAGTACAGTACAATGAAAAAAAAATCATGTCATCAATACAGTACAACCTAGGCTGTCTGCTTAATTTAACTCAATAAATTTGTAATGTACAGCAAAACAAAAAACTATCACTGTCTAGACATAGGAGGTGGGTAGGTTATGGCATGCTAGAGGTACCAGTGAGGGAGGGGAGCAGATTTTTTTTCACTTAAACTATACATATTAAATCCTGCTTAATCCACAAAGTTTAGGCCCACAGACTGTAAGTACGGTTATACAGTCTCGTGGAGGAGACGACTAACACCAGAAATAGGTATCCTATTTCGTTCACTTTTCCACAAATGTTATTTGGATGAATGTAAAAAAAAAGACAACTTTTTCCATAAATTTTAAGTTTTTTGGGTTTTCTTTATCTACAATCATATATCACCTATAGTGGGCAGGGTATGTGCAGGATTACCTCATTATTCACAACCTCGCTAATCCATAATTTATATTTTAACACCCATATTCGATATTCACAAATCATATCCCATTTATTCGCAAATAAAAATTATGATAACCTACAGTAATATTTCAAACCGAGTAGGCTAGCCATAGCTATCTTACTCTACTGTAAAGCCCACTTCATACGAGCGTGCGAAGACCTGCGAGGTTTAGAAATTATTGAAGTTCAATGGGAGCGCTCGCATGGAACACGCGTGTGAAAATTCAAGTGTAAGAGACGCTCACCCCACACACATAACTGTACTTTCCAACCGTGGTGTGAAAAATTATGTCAAGCATTCTAGAATTCTTCATGTGGCAATGGTAAATGCTAGTTTAAATGTTTACACTGCTTTACAAATGTCGTACATACACACACTTTCATTCACTCATGTACACATGCTCGCTCACTCACTCATCATGTTCTTTGGTATTGTTTTTATGGTACTATTGTACTTATTTTATTGCATTATATGGCGTACACCTGTACACAGTATAAAAAAATATGTTGCTATTAAATAAGAAATATGAAGAGCATAAGTGTGTATATTTGTGAAGTGAATGTATGTGTGGAGTCTGTGGACTTGGCATGTTGTCAAGTTAGACTGCTTGGAGTTACATCCCCCTTGCTCTCCCCTTACCAGGCCAAGCACTGATATTTTTATTTTTCAACTCTTATTTGGGGGAAGATATATGTAATTTTATTAAAAACAATTAACGTTACATGCACACACAATTGTTCATAAAGAATGTGATAAAAATAAAAGAAATAATAAGGTAAAAAACATTTCTTACACGCACAATACAGGAAGTTAGCGCACGGATTGTAGGAGGAAGAGGAGGGAGCACTGTTGGGGATCTCAGCCAGTCCAGTCCCGCATGTAGTGAAACTACTGTATTGCCAACTGGCAATGTGGTATTTTTTCTTTTATTTTGTTTAATATTACAATTATACAATGGGGTCAGGGACCTCAAAAAGCTACCGTTAAGTAAGCGATCGTATACCGATATTAATAACTAATGGGAAAAATAAAGGTTCTGTTCCTGAGACCCCAAAGAGCCCAAATATCTTTTATATCCTGCTGCTATAATGTTTAAACCATGTCTAAATAACTCAATGAGTTTATAAACAAAACCAATAAATTTATACAAAATAGAGATTTAATCTTATTTACCTTATATGATATGTATGTATAGTGTAGTAAGTTGCGATCCCCCAGCTGTTACTACAAGTACTATAGCAGCTGAGGGATCACCAAGGTTATTTCATATCACATTTTCACAGTGACACTGCAGGAATAGCACTGTGTGTAATAAATAATAATAATAATAATAATAATAATAATAATAATAATAATAATAATAATAATATCAATAATAATTAATAATAATAATAATTATTAATGGTTTACTGAAAGAACATGGCAACCAGTAGGCTGAAAATATACAATACATAATTGAGGAATGGATCACTTGATTGACAAATAATATACAAGTAACAAAGGTGATATAAATATGATACTGTATATAATAACAAGATGGGGAGGTCATATTACAGAGTACAGTATTTCAACATACAGTAGTAACAATGCAAAAAAGTAAGTGTGTGTGTGTGTGTTGAAATTTGGTTAGAATAGGAACATTCTGAAAAAAATGCTTTTTATTGATAAGATAAACCAACCTAACCTACCCAAACTTGAGCTTTACCTAAACATGCAGGGTAAAACATGGTGAAAAACTGATCATATGACACTAAAATGATGGTTCCACATGCTTTGTACACGAAGAAATTAATTTACCGTAAATACTCCTCTGAAAAGCTGCCGTTGTTGTTGTGTGCTCTGTTTACAACTGACCCACTTGGCCCGAGCATACTCTCATGTTCACAAAAAATTTAAAATTACACCATGACGCTTCAATAAACTTGCTTTTATTGGTACAAGATATCAAAACAAGTACTTTCTGTTTAATATGGCTGAGGGTCCAGGATGTGGAACCCCAGGCTAGGAAGTTAGGTAGGTTTCTTTGGTTGGTTAGGTCAGGTTCCATTAGGTTCTAGTAAATGTTGTGGTTAATATTGACGAGTGACCCGCTGATGAGCTATTTGTTTTGGTGTTTATTTTCTTACTCTATTTTCATCAGCAAGTACTGACATGATAATCATTTCTTGTGCAAATGCTTCATTTGGTAGATAATTAGGTGCCTAAGGTGCTCACTAATTTGTCTTCTTGACGGTAATACGTCAGTTTTATGTTAAGGTTGGGTTGGGTAAGAAAAATAGCACAAACTACAACACTGTCCTCTATAAATCAATAATTACCAATGTTGCCTCTTTTAAAATACTTACTAAAATGATTTAAACATTTGTGGGAAAAATGAACGAAATTGAACAATTCCTCCTGGTGGTAGTGGTGTTCCCAAACATTACCAAATGTTCACCTAACAATTAATACTTACAGTAGGATCCTCCTCCACCACCACAACATTCAGTCCTTGGAGAGCTCGTTCCTTCAGGTGATAAGCAATGGATGACCCCATAACTCCCCCGCCCACCACCAGCACGTCACAGTGAGAAGGCCATACCTCCCCCAGTCTGTCCTGGGGCTCAGGTCTGGGGTCTCCTCCATCTAGGGTCTTTCCTGTGGTTGGGAATCTGGACTGTACACCAAAGAAGAAGCCCTTCACATCATCACTCAATATTCCAATTGTTCTCTGTAATGGATTAGCGTATTTATGCCTTCGAAAATTTTGGTTTTTGTTGTCTTGTGAGTTTGGTGGGTCATCATGACGGTCACTACAAGTTGTGCTGCTGGAAGACAACCCTCGCCTGCTCACATCACTGTACTCAAACACTGACTTCACCTGGGAGTAACTCACTCCTGTCCACTGTTCTCCCAGGCGCCTTAAGGATGTTCTGGTGATGCAATACATTGATGTGTGGCCAGACTACACACACACACACAACCTCAAACCCTCACGTGTGTTCCCCTGACTGTAGTGCAGACGATAACAATGTTAACACCGGACTATTAACCTATTATTCCAGACTGACATCAAGGAAAGGGAAGGCTGAAGGCTGTGAAGAGCAAAATATCTAATCAGACAGCCGACACACCAGCAATCCATTGTCATCTCCCCGATAAGCATTAAACTAATATGTTTAATTATTAAGGACACATAATAAGCATAAAGCCAGTTAGAATTTTTTTTTTGAAAAAAAACCCCATAATGATATGAAGATGTGTGAAATACATATCCATGCACCTGAAAAATAAATGTGCATTTATATAAATATTACCAGAAAAATAATAACACAAGACTTGTTTACATTAATTAGGAATTGGAACAGCTGGCAACCCACATCAGCTGATCCCTCAAAACAAGGCTAAGTAGATCCAACACTTTATATCTTTTGCATGTTAAAATTTTTTGATAATTATGAAACTGAAAAGAAAAATAATTGGTCTAAGCTTTTATAACATTATAAATCTGAAGAGATTTATATATTAAATTGTAAAAGTTAGCAAACTAAATTCATAATGGGAGTTTCTGTCTGTTCACTCCATAAGTCCGACCAAAGTCCACAAACTGTGAGACAGTGGTGATTGTTATGCTCCTCAGACCCATTGACTCACCTCAGATAACCTGCTATCGTTAACGGTATACCATGTTGTGTTAAACTCTTCTAGTGACAACCGGGAACTGGAGTTATAAGTACATTTACAGCGTCAAGACTCTGTTTTTTAACAATTTGGAGAGTGGTAGTGCAACATGTCCGTCTACTTCCTTCCTTTTGAGGTGAGTTTAAACTGAATTTAATTATTCTTTTGGGTGGGGGGAGGTTTGGTTAGGTTAGGGTAGTGTTAAGTGGTTAATCCTTAGGTTGAATAAAGTAGGATGGAGATTCTTCAGGTAATCCAGTTGGGGATGAAAACTTATGACATTCATCATAATTGTTCAGTTACAGAAATCAGGAGTAAGAGCTACTGTTAGCTATCACATGTACAGTATATGCAGAGGAAAGCATGAACTGATGAAAATAAATTCGATAAATGTGGAGGAGACAGTTAGCACCAGAAGGACTTAATGGAATTGCACCAAATTTTCAGGAGATGGTGTTAGGGTGATACCGAGTAAGAAAATCAAAGCGACAAAAATGTAGTATATTTTTTTTAGCCTATCCTTCGACTATAAATTACTCGTTAGTGGGCAGGGCATGAAAGAAGAGGGGAATAACAGTGTAAAAACACTGAACACTGATCGTATGGCAGTAATTTCATGGCTCTACGTATTTTGTAGGCGAAGAAATAAAATATTTAACATGATTAAGGAGCCGTCGGATCTCCTGTCGGGACCATATTTTGGTTCACATCGTCTGCTGTATGGGAGCATCCGCAGTCTTTGTTTACATACCAAGATATGAATCTCATCGTGCGTGTTCATTGCTATTTATATTGGATTGATTACTGTACAGAAGTTCATTTATTTCAAGTGATGTTGTTGTGGATGATAATGAGAAAATTGAAACGACAATGCACAGGTTAGGAAGTTAGATGGGATCAGGTAGGCTAGGTAAGGTTAGGTCATGTTCTAATAGGTTCTCTGCATTTTTTTTTCCATTCTCGTGTTTAATATCAATTCCTTAAGTTATTCCTCGTGCTAACTGTCTCCACCTTTACCAAAGAATTTTTGTGTTTATTCACCAAATTTGTAATGTTTGCACCAGTTCTCCTTAAAAAAAAAATAATGGTAACAAATATAGCTTATGCTTTGTTGATTCACAGGTCCTTGTTAACCTCTTCAACTATTTGGGTGTGAGTGACCTTCTGGCTGCCTCCTGTGTGTGCAGTCTATGGAGGGAAGCTTCCATAATCCCATTAGCAGATAAGGTCACCATCATGATCACAGACGATGCAGCTCCGGCAATGGAGACTTTCCAAGCCACGTGTGTTCCATACCGCAACTGGGTGTTCAAGGTTTGTGTTTTGTTTAAATTTACGGCCAAAGTAATTATTGATACACATTCTGTACTTGCAAGTAGAAAAATGTTTTGTACTTTGCAAATTACATCAGAAAAATTATGAATTAAGTTGTAAGTATAATTACTGATGACTAAAGAGTGTATAACTGTGAGAGGTGTGTCATTTGTATAGTGTTATTAAATTAGGTTTACCTGCCTTATATTTGTACTTTATCATCAGATACTTACTTCATGCAGATTATTTCCTTTTCTTTTAACTAATGTTGCTATACTCCATGTTAACTACTGTATTATTTTATGGAATGATAACTTACAGCTATTTATTTGGTTCTGTACATAAATTGTCTTGAACATGTACCCCTTAATAATAGCACATCATGTACGTACAGTACAATTTTGCTTCTTCCTATAAAAAAATCCTGTATTAGAGATGTACATATACAGTACTTGTACTGTATTGTATATCACATTTGTGTGCAGTATTATACAGTATATATTAGATTTAAGGCATTTCATCTGTTGGTCATGTAGAAATGTTTTTCATTCTTTTTCATACATTTTCCTGTAATTTTTGGAGAAAATGGCTTTAAAACTTTAAGTGAACTTAAGTGTCATAACCAGCAATATAGTACTGTTTTACCCTGAACCATTAGTCCGTCCATTATTTAGTACCACATTTAGCTGTTTATATATAATGTTTTGTCATTCACATATTTCTCTTACCTTAATTAGCAACACGTCACTTACCAAGGGACCTCTTCTTCAGGTGTTGGCCAGGACAGAAGAATATCCATGCTGACTTGTCATATTAAATTTCTTTTGCCATCTCTTATTTCCCTGACCAACATCCTTCTTTAAAGCATTGGTCCACCTCTCTTTCCTATAATACAGGGTCATTTTTTATTCAAGAATCCAAAATAATTACTATACTTTAGGAGCCTATAATTGAGCAGGAAAAGCAAAAATGTTCTTCACAGTGATTTGATCAGACTTCTTTCCTACTAATTTTTGGTTCCTATTCGTTGCATGTCCTAGAATATAGTAATCATTTAGGGTTCTTCAATAAAAAATTACGCTGTGCAGTATACTGTACAGTACAGTATATGTAGGTCATCCCCCTACTGCTATCTCCTATGTCCCACTTCTTTACATCTCCTTGTTCTTGTTTCATGTTATCTCTTAGTTTCGTCTGTGTTTCTAAAGAGATTCATTTTTTGAGTAGTAACTATAGTCTTGGTGCTTGCAGTCTTATGCTTCTTCTTTTTTGTACTGTTTATCATTCCCTTCTTTACCACAAACTGGAATGTGGTGTTGATGTATTGTTGGTTGTGGTATAATTCAAGTGCAGGTACCATGGTTTTAGTTTGTGGCAAAGGGGGTAATTTCTCTAATGTATTATCCAATATTTCTCTTTGATAGATATGTTTAAGATTTCCTCAAGATTTTACAGTATTGCTTGAGAATATTGCTCCTCTTGAATATAGCCTTCCATTACAGGAAGTGGACCTGTCCTTGTGTGGGGTATGGGGGGATTGGTGGTTGGGGATGGGCAGTGAGGTGCGCTCCCTCAGTCTACATAGTACTGGCATGAGTCAAGCTGATTTTGTTGGTCTCCTGACACCATGCACAAAGCTTCGTGTCCTCAACCTTAATGGCTCCAGAAGTCTTTTTAGGGAGGGTTAGTTCATACTTTTTTTGTAAATTTATTGCTTTTGTATTCAATATTTAAACATTCAAATCAGATGTGTATCCAAGAGTTCTCCCCACTTAGCCCTTCCTTAGAAAGCTTTTTAACATTATTAGTAAATGTTTATTAATTTTTTAAATAGTGTACTCTTTGTGTAATTGAAGGAAGCAGATATCTCTCCTTCTGGCATGCTAAAGCGAATGTGGAGGAAACAAGCACCACATATCCATTCTTTAGGGTTGTTTAATGTAACCCTGTCTGAGGAGGACTTTGCTGTTTTATTGTCATACTGTTGTCAACTACGCTCACTCAACATTGGCTCTCGGCACCTCTTTAGGTCTGGTAAGTTACGTAGAGTTGTAGTGTGAATAATTGTGTTCATGCTGCAAGACTCATACAGCCAGTACAGTATTACAGTACTATTATATTATAGTCTTTTTGGTACAATAATTGCTGTCAGTAAGAATGTAATACAGTACTGTACTGTAGAACTTAAAGGCACTGTACAGTATTGTCCTGGCTTACATTCTATCATGTTGTATACGGTATTCTTCAGATCTCTAGGATTTATGGCATAAAGTACTGTAGTCCCTCGCCACCCGTGGAGGTAAGGCAAATCCGCAGTTGGCTTGTGGGAAATAGGGAATTAGGTTCTATGGTTGCGGAGAACACTCTTCAAAGTCTAACTAAGTTGCCTGTTCCTCCACAAAAGAATATCTGTATTGTACATTTAATTAAATTTGAGTAAAATATATGTAAAATACTGTAGCTTAATATAAATTAAATAGCAGTATAGGTATAAAATTTATGGAACATCTCCGTGGAGATGGCATGATGCTATAAAATAAGAAAAATGAAGAGCATGGGTGTGTATGTGTGTGAAGTGAATATGTGTGTGTGTAAGGTGAATATGTGTGTGTATGTGTGCACATGTGTGCATGTGTGTGCGTGCATGTGTGTGGACCTGGTAGGTCGCCAAGTTTGACTGTCCTTGTAGCTACATCCCCCTTGCTCTCCCCCTACCATGCCAAGCTGTGTTATTGTTATTTTTCAACTTGTTTTTTGGGGGAAGATATACGCAATTTTATTATAAAAAAAAATTACATACACACACAATCATTCATATAAAATGTGTAAAAAATTAAAAATAAAAGAAATATTTATTATAAGATCAAAAACATAAAGAGAATAAACATTTCTTACATCCGCTGGAGTTAGCCAGACAATCGTGAGAGGGGGAGTACACTCCTGTCTCCCGTGTCCTTAGTGAACCAGTTGCCAACTGGTGGATACTTGAAATTCAATGCCGTCGTTGGTGAAATGGTATACATACAGAGAAAAACCATCGATACCCAGAATCCGAGGTTGGCGAGGGCCTACTGTATATATACAATTATGGTTGTAGGTACAGTACTGTATTGTTGTTAAATGTGATTTCTTCATCTTGATAAAACATTTTTGGTATGAATTGACAAGAGACTATATTTTACAAACAAGAATACAGGGTGTTCTTCAGTGATTATAGGGCAGGCAATAGATACCTTGTATTTGCCTATGCAGTGTACTGTACTGTGTTGTTTACAGTGTTGAATAGATTTATTATTACAGTACCTTTAATAAGTAAATTACATGCTACATTGTGCTTGTCTTATGTGAAAACACTTGGGTTTCAGTTTTTTCTTTTTTCCATTTATTTTTTATTATAACCTTGTGTTAGTCACCATGCATTTAATACTCAACCAATTGGAGGACTTCCTTATCATATTTATTTTTATATTTTTTTATTATGAAAGATAGCTAGAATCAGTGAGCCAAAGTCACTTATGCAAATGCAGTAACAAAATATACAACTTATGTACTGTATATTTGAAAAGGGGATTTTTTCAAATTTGTAAAAGTACAGTACAGTATGTGAAATAGATTGCTTTAATGAATGTGGGATACAGTATGCTATGTACCGATGTATTTGCCCATTGGAGATAAATGTAATATTTGATTCTTTTACTGAAGATGGGTAAGATTTAATTTTCTAGGAAGTTCATGGTATTGATGACTTGATTTACCGGTAGTTTGCATAGTGAAGTGGTTTGATACATCATGGAGTACTGAGGACACTAAAGACTCACTTTGTATATTACATTTGCTGTTTGAGAATGTGGAGAAGTATGTGTGGATATTTCTACCTGTTATCATAGCCATTTTGTGTTAGTTTCCACACTTGTCTACCTTTATTTCTCCTCTTTATATGAACCTTCTTTATCCCTTGATCTGCAACATACAAGAGTGAGTGAGGGAGGAGTAAGGATAATAGCTTGGCAGATCATGACCATATTGTTTTATTAAGTTGTTTGGTTGATTAAGAGAATTAGGCACAATGCTAACAACATTTTCTGAAGTATTTATTGTCACTAGTAACGATCTGTACTTTTGACTTTAGGGAAGATAGACAGATGGCAGTTCATGTTGCCTGATAATCAACATTTTTGTGATATCACTGATTCTATAATTGTCAAACCACTTCTCAGCTGATGTGTTGGTGCTTCAGTAACAAGGTTAAATGTTTATCATGCTCTGATATTGTTTTCAAGGACTTGTTTCTCCTTATCATCTGAAAGTGACACAGCACTCCAGTTGTGTATTGCAATCAAACTTCCTAAATCCAAATTGCTTTGGATCAAACCCTGTTAAAATTTTAGAAAAAATTGAACTTTGGATACCTAAATATCATGGTCTCTTTGTACACACTTTAAGTGTACTAATTTTCCCAATTCCTTAAATGCTGTGGAAAGTACAAGTCATTGTTTGCCTTTAAGCCTAATAATATGTAATATTTACTTAAGCAATAATACAGTACAGTAATGTACATTAAAAAATATATGGCCTCTTACTACCAGGCCAAGTGGGGAAATTTCCAAACATTCTTACTCCTGACAAAATATTCATCTCCAATGAGCTAAATGTTGTACGTATTTATTTTTTAACTTGTAATTTTGGGTAGATATACTTATTTTTTTTTTTACTCAGTTATATGCACATAAATAATGTGAAAAAACTTTCCATATGGTCAAAAACTTAATAAACATTTCTTTGTCTGCAAGAGTGTGAGTTCTCAGCTGCTCAGACTGTCTCCTATGTGTAGGGAAATGTTTGAAAAATAATACGATGTCCAGCTGTAAGAGTACAGTATTAAATATTATAATTACAAAAGTAGCAACAAAGTAGCAGTACATTAAACAAAATCATTATATAAAAATATTTACAAAAGCAGCAGGACATCACATTAAAAACAATCTAAAAATAATCATAGGTGATGCTCGTGCTGCCATCTTGTGAGATGTTGGGGAAATGTTCACTCGTCAGCACTCGGGGTCTACCCCTAGTAGATCCCAAACTTGGGAGAAAAATGGGCAGGGCAGAAAGAATGTAGGTAATGGACAATGTGGTCACCATAGATAACCATTGTGCACCCTTGCCTTTGAGGTGAGTAGATTACGACCACAAATAAGTTCACACATATAGGCAGATTTGTGTTACATAGACTCATTTGATGAGGAACAACTGCACTGAGATGCAACGAGTGACCCAGAACATGCTTTTACACATTCAGACACATACAACCAAATTTATCTTGTACATACTGAAATACTAGTTGAAAAAGGGTTCTTGCATATACAATACATAATCTAATTCACATACAAGTATCCCTCATTGGCTTTCATTTTTTCTTAGTAATTTTCCCATTTCGTCTGTTTACATTGTCTTTCCCGCTTTTTCTCATTTTCTAGTTCTTCTATTTTATCTCTCATATCTTTATCACTTTTCTCTGTTTTCTTTTCTTTCTCTTTCATATTTCCTCATTTCCTCTCTAACTCTTTCTCATTTCCTGTTTTCTCTCTAGTTTAGCATGGTAGTCCTTCCCTTGAAAGTACAGTAACAGCAAAAGTTTGAAAGGTCACTGCATAAAATCGGAGGTCAAGTTCACAGAATAGCATAGTTCTGAATCTGCCTACAAGTGCTCTATAAGGCACTGTAGGCCAGTAAAGAATCAGCTTCAGCTCTTCATCTCCTCCAGCCAATAGTAGTTCGATGTGAAAATACTCCAGCAAGGGTTACCAGGAATTTTTTTACCCCTTGATGCAGACTGTGCTTAAAATTTTTGATCTTCTGATGTCGGCCAAAAAGAGTACAGCGACTATTTTTTCTCTCTACACCTGTTTTGTGATGTGTAGAGTACAGTATTTCACAACACCTGCTGTGGTCTGTTGGTTATCCTAAACAGTTATCAGTGCCAGATACTGTACTAACCTGATCAATAATTCTTAAAACTCACTGATAATTTTCCAACACTTTATGTAATCCTGATACTGTAACCATGTTTTCTGCAGACTATCAGAATATGCCTCCCTCTACTGTACTGTTGTTGTTGTTGTTGTTGTTATATTTTTTGAATGGCGTGCAGTCGGTGCGCCACTCAGGGTTGTTGAGTACCATTAACCAACTGTTAGTTTTGATAATACAGACAAGATAGATATTTATTCAGTAAATTTATCATACAAGTTTACAATTGGTTTAGCATGTACAATTCAGTAATATATAGACAATGTGTATCCCTAAACTGTGCTTTTAGTCTAGTGGCTAAGGGGTCAGCTTCTCTCTTAACGCATTCTTCACTCTCTGTATAAAAACTCTTGATAGCATTTAACACTGGCCCATTTATGCTACACTGTACTTTGTCAACATTTCCTACATTGTTTTTCTATCTTCTCTATCATATGCCATACACATAATCTTTCCCTTCTCAGTTTGTGTTCTTTAACACAAGAATTTGATCCACTCATCTCTATTCTTTGACTTCACACTGCTCCTCCTTAACACAGCTTCAGTTTTTGCTTATTCTCTCAGTCCAGTAATAACTTTTACAATATTCTTTTCCTGGTTTACTTAACAAACTTATATTCATCTCTAGTTTTTGTATTAATTTGTATTGTAAGTTACTGTATGTTATTTTATATTGAAAGTTATTGTTTACCAACCCTAAAAAGTACTGTATGTATTATTGTTTAAAAACTTTGACAATCGAGTAGTTGGGATTACCTACAATTTCCCTAGATTACAACTCTATTTTAACCCGAACCTCAAATGTTTACGGGGAACCATTACAAGAAACAGCTGCAACAGGAGGTTCCAAAATTCCAGAAAAGAGCCACAGAAAAAAGTTCTAAACATCCCATAGAAGCTCTGACAGAATACTGTATTCCAAAAATATCAAAACTATTGAAAGGAGAAATATGAAGTATTTTATTTACTGTTGCAGGAGGTTGACATCAGGCTACAAGCCCAGTTTGCTGAGGTCTGGAGAAATGTCTCAGGGAAAGTGAAGAGTTTGAAGCTGTTACATGCAGACCTCAGTCAACAGGAATTTATCAGCTTGTTGAAACAGTGTAGCAGCTTGGAAGACTTGAGATTAGATGGTTTAGCTCATCTTCTTATGGCAGGTAGATACTAGTCTGTAAGCTTGTTTGGTGGATACAGTATGTCTGCAGCACTCACCAACGTCTACACTCTTATGCTTGGATTTTATACCAGCTGGACATTTTCCGCTTCTTCCAATAATCTCTTCATCAGCTGCAAATATTTGTTTTAGATTTGCATTGAATTCGTTGGAAGCTGTGCTTATAATACATGTACTACATCATCTTTCAACTTATAATATTTATATAATCTTTTCTATATACTTGCTCATCAATCTGCTCCTCTTGGGGCATTATATTGCAAAGTTCTGTTTATGGACTGTACTCTCCTTTGCTTAAACTGTAATCGCACAAGAGAAAGGAACGAGTGGTGTGGATATTGGTTTTTCTTACTAATCATTTAATTTTCTTTTTTTCACTAAGGTACCCTCTTGAGCAACCCTGAAGATGTTAAAATGCTCTCAGCCTCCCTGAAGAACGTGACTCGACTGCATTTGGCTTGTTCCAGATACTTGACGGATTCTCTCTTCAGTCGTCTTACCTCAGTTGTGGGGTCACTGAGCAAGCTGTCACTGGCAGGCTGTCAGATTACATTTCATGAAGCAATTCATAGGAGATTTTATCCACAAGATGGACGAATCACAGAGTCAGATCATGTTTTAACTTTCAAGCATATATTAAAATGTATTGAGGAGAATTCCAGTACTTTGAAGGAGTTAAGTCTCGGTAGAACAATCATCGATAGTGAGGCTCTCTATAATCTGTCAAAAGTCCCAGGATTACAGCTTCAGTCATTACACTTGATGTCCTGTGACCAGCTGTCAAAAAGTGGTATTCAGTTACTATGTGAAAACCAAAAGTCCATCACAGACTTGGACCTGAGTCTTTGTTCACGCATCACAGATTATGCAGTGTTGTCTGTATGCCAACACCTCCCCAACATAAAGAAGCTGAATCTGCGAAGATGTCAAGGCATTACGGAGGTATGGAAATTCAAGTGTTTACTTTTTTGTAGGTACTATATATGGAGTTTTACATAGATGTTAAAACACAATCTGAATTTCAGAAAGATGGCCTTAAAAAAGGAAGATCTCTTAAAACACATCTTCTCTTATGTTGGGACCATGGGTGATTGTAGTTAATGACTGGTTGCATACTGTAGATTTGTAAACTGTCTGGTAGCCCCAAGCGATCTGAGTTCCGTAACATGCGGGATACCTGTAATATAAACTATACACACACACACTTACCTGATTTAGTCTAGTGCATCTGGTCGCTACACACAGCCTGGGTTAAGCCTGCTCACAGACTCTGCAAGAGTTCAATCCCCGCCATGACGGGGTGGTTATTAGCTGGTTTCACCATACCCTTACACCTCACTATGGCAGTGTCTCAAAGTTCTAGAAGCTGGGCAAACTGAGTCTGTGCTAGATAATAAACAACAATCATATTCATCCTCATTATATAATTATAATATACTGTAGTATTTAATAGAATATTGATATTGACCAACATTGTAAAAGCTTTCTCATATTTTTACCAAAACAGGTGTTAGTCTTGGTTATTATAAGAGCTTTTGGATTTGATTATCCAAGATGCATTGTTTATAGTGCTTGAAAAAACCCGATATAGTAATTAAATCTGTCGGTAATTAAAGTTCGTTGATAGGGAGTTTTGTGTCACTTCGGGTACAGTAGTTGTGTCGCCATTTGGCCGACATTTTAGTGGATGTGGTGATATCAATAGAAGTAGTGTTATTGATTGTGATGGAGTTTTACTGTGTAGCAATAAAGTTACTGGTTAAGATTCCATGCGTATATGGTAGCAAAGCTATTAATGATGTTTGTGTAGGGATTCGAAGCATTTGAGATGTTAAGGAACATTGAGTAATTTACTTGCATAGCTGTATGGAACTATTATTCATAAAACTGTTTCAACATTACCAAATTTTGACTAATGTTTTTATTTATCATCCAGTGCCACACTGATCTATTTTAATAATCATAACACTAAATGGGTTGGGAGGTGTGGGAGGGAAGAGAGGGAGGGCACAGTAAGAGAATTGCAGTATCAGCCAGCAACAACTTGTATATTTATCCATAAAACAGATTTGTTGTGCTTTCAAGACCTGACACTATTTATATGTAAACAACAAATATATTCATAACATATATTGTATGTGTAATAATGACATTCTGACAGGGTTACAAAGAGAATATATTTGGCTCAAAGCTAGAGTTGTTAGTCATATGTTTGTTAGGTGTGAGGTATAGTCTGAGTCTGGCATGAATGCTGGTGACTTACATGCTTACTCTATTGTTTACTGGGCCGTGGAGGGTCACTGAATGTCATTGGCAATGTGACGGTAAAATGATGAGTTATGAATCTCTGCCCTTAGTCCAGTTAATCTGGGTAATGTACTGTATATAATGATAACATGTAATTAGCCCACATTTTTATCAATACTGACTGTCCATTTGTTGACAGAGGATATTACAAGATAATAGTTATACTGTATTATGTAGATTAATATAAGGTAGTAGGTGCAGTAGTAGCCAGCTATCAAACAGGGAGGTACTACCGCCTGGGAAGATATTGGAAGCATAATGTTGTTTAATGGTAGACCCTGCTGCCATATGGCATCACAAAAATTATGACCAAGTCCCAGGTTGCTGATCTGACATTCTGCCTCATTTACACACAATTGCAGGGTCTCAATTGTTTCTCTTACTTAGACAACACAACATACATACAGTACAGTATATTGTTTCTCACTATTGACCTTTTTTTTATTTATGTTTTTATTTATGGTCCTTTATTATTGTTATTATTATTATTATTATTATTATTATTATTTTTATTATTATTATTATTATTATTATTATTATTATTATTATTGTTATTGTTATTACAGTATTAGATTATATTTTAATTTAATTTTATTAATTTTTATTAATTATTATTGTTATTAATATTATTATTATTACCTGTATTATTATTATTATTAGTAGTAGTAGTAGTCGTAGTAGTAGTAGTAGCAGTAGTAGTAGTAGTAGTAGTAGTAGTAGTAGTAGTAGTATTTGTAGTAGTAGTAGTAGTAGTAGTCTTAACAAACAAGAATTTACAGATGCCATTGCTCTAAGGTACGGTCGGCCAGTAGAAGGTTTGCCCTCCCAATGCGTGTGTGGCTCTTCCTATGACGGCGATCACAGCATGGTGTGCAAGAAAGGGGGCTTCATATGCATGAGGCATGATGAAGTAAGGGACCTCACAGCAAATATGTTGAAGGAAATATGCCGGAATGTCATGGTAGAACCGACCCTCCTTCCATTGGATGGTGAGATCCTCCAACATAGGACTTCAAACACATCTAACGAAGCCCGTGTTGACGTCAGTGCTCGAGGATTCTGGACGCAAGGACAGCGAGCTTTCTTCGACATCAGGATTTTTGATCCCATGGCCGCATGTCACCGTAACCTAGCTCTCGATGCTGCACATAGGAGGAACGAGAACGACAAGATAAGGGCATATGGGGAGAGAATCCAAAACGTTGACCAAGGCAGCTTCACTCCCCTAGTGTTCACAACCTCTGGTGGGATGGAACCAAGTGCAAGATGTTTCTACGCCAGACTCGCGGAGGTGATCTCCGAACAGAAGCAGCAGCCCAGAAGTTTCGTTACAGCCTGGATGAGATGTCGACTGTCTTTCTCTCTCCTTCGGTCGGCTTTGCTCTGCCTCAGGGGAACGAGAGCTTCTGCCCCAATTCCGATAACTGCTGCAGATATCGACTACGAGGCTACAGTCACTGAATGCCGCATAGATCTGCGGCTCAACTAATTTAACACAGATAGGATAGCTTCTTATGTATTAGGATATTTAATATTAAGGTAAATAAATGGTGGCGAAGGTGTGGCTATTGGGGGAGGCTGGAGGCCACGTAAAAAAAAAAAAAAAAAGTAGTAGTAGTATTACCGGTGGAGTAGTTGTTTTATATTTCATACACAGGCCCTGATGTCGTTCATTGACCTGTGCCCTAGTGGGCTAATCCCATGTCCCCCTACTACTGTTATAAGGCATCACCCTCTCTCAAGTTATGAGGGCACTTGTGGTACAGTATAGTATTCTTGAATTTTTTACTCCAATTTATTGCAGGTTGGTATTAGAGCCCTTGGGCAGCTGAAGCATCTGGAGGAGCTGAATATCTCACACTTGGAGGCTGTTACATCAGAAAGTGTGGAGGAGGCTCTGGGGAAGGAGCCAAGACCAACCTTACGAGTGCTCAACCTGGCATCTCTGCCACTTAGTTGGAAGACTGTTGCAAACATGGCAACATTGACACCCAACCTTATACACCTAGATGTCTCGATGTGTATTAGTGGCATAAATGACAAAAGCCTTCAGGTTAGAACTTTGATGATCCCAGAAGTTCTAACAATGAGCTATGACAACACAGTACAGGCAGTCCCTGAGTTACGAATGGGTTACGTTCCTGGACCCTATCCGTAAGTTGATCTGTTCGCAAGTCGGAGTAGTGTTAATTCCATACACAACAAATTATGTAAATACTATAAATAAAGTGCTGTTAAACAATATAAAGTAATGCAAAAAATGGTATTTTAGTTAAAGGTTTCTCTCATGAATATATTGGGATCCTGTTCGTAAGTGCAGGTGTTTGTAAGTCAGGCGTTCGTAACTCGGGATCTGCTTGTACAGGTATGGGACCATTTATCTGACATGCTTGGGACCTGGGGGTTGCTGGATAAGGTTTTTTCTTGAATTTGGAGCACTCGGGTCTAAAATGTACAAAATGTACAGTGAACCCTCTGTAACTGGTTGTGAAGCCTATGTTCAAATCACTAGATTCGACCCTAAAAGTGACTGAAGTAACAAAATTATATAAATAGTACAGCAATGATGAAAGCATAGAAAGGGCAAAAATTATACAAATTAGTGTACAAACTGTGTCACAGTTGCCCTTAATACTCATCTTAGTAATGCAACAGCGTCCTTAATAACGGTACTCTGCTGCGGACCCTCTGACCTCCACACACCTTCACGGATATAAACCCGTGGATACATATACTTTATCATAATTATTTCTTTCATTTATTTTGGCACTTTCTGTACGTAAGTTTATTTGTACATCTAACTGAGTGTGTATGTAACTTTGTAAAGAAAATTAAGAAAATCACATATATTTATTCCAAATTACAAGTTGAAAAATAACCATAACATAACATATAGCTCACAGGTGGAGAATGGTTAGAAATACTGTATTTCTGCTCAGCCTGAGAATTACTTTTGACGCTAATTATAACCCTTTCACCGCATTGTTTGATGATGTAATTATTCCCATCAAGTGTGATTAAGTTATCATAAATGAAAGTGCTGATTTGAGCTTTTTTATTACTTTTATATTATGAGAATAATGTGAAGTTTCCATATCTGGCATAAAAATTCCTTTGGGATGTGGGTAGCTAGTGGATACAGGGTATTCATGATATTTTTTATAAAACATATTGAACAAAATATTATTTTGTAACTTGGGTATTCTTCAGGTAAAGTGGTCTGATGAAATCACATGTTAAAATTGCCTACCAAGTTATTCATCACTGTACTGTACATTATTATTTTATGTAAATTATAACCAGGTTTTGAGGTCCAATATTGATACTGTACCTCACCTGGAATAATTTTGGGTGAAACCAAACAAAATGGACAATACAAACACATTTTTTTAAATAGAAATATCAAACTTGCATATATTCACTTAATTTGTTAACCATAAAAATGCATTTTATAAAGTTCCTTGCAACTCTTCCAACAGTCATCTTTCATCTTACACCCATGGGTCTGTCAAGGGAAATAAAATCAGTACAAACACATACCAGTAGCTAATTACATAAAAATAATACCTGTACAGTAATTAGTCAGTAAAAATATGCCTTAGTTACTACAAAATATTTGCTTTTCCACTTTCACACCACCACAAAAACTGGCAAGCCAAAATAGTGGTAGAGTAGTTCAATAATATTCCTTCTTTTATACAGTACTGTGCTGTATATGGTATATTTTCATACTTGACACAATTATACTGCCTGTCCCCATATAATAGAATGAAAACTTATCTTATTTATTCAGATGACAGTCAATATAAAACCTCTTATGACGGTCAGCAATGGTTGGGCTCAGGTGTCAGGCATCGTGTGCAACTACAAGTGTGTGTTGTAGTTGAGTCTTTCACCAAAAGATGGTAGCACAACCCAGGACTGGCAGTGCATTTAAATTCTTGGAACATAGTCAGTTTAAGCAGGGAATAATAAAAGTTTTTGATGCCATGGAGTACAGTCGATTTGCACAGTGTAGCACAATAATTTTAAATTTGACTACAGTCAATTTGCACAGTGAAAGGGTTAAATAGTAATTTGTTCCAGAACATAGCCAGTTTTTAGAGTGCTCCAGATACTGGAACACCAGATAAATGGTCCCAATTCTGTATGTGTTTTTCTCTATAGTCAACATCAGTTCAAGTAGTCCCTTGTATAGTATAGTATGAATGATAACAAGTGAAGGGGGAGTGTGGTAGTTCATGAGTTGTGGTCATTGTGAATTGTAGTGGGGAAAGCCTTGCAAGAATTCTATATAAAGAAATACTTTATCACATTTCATTCCTACTCTTGTAAATTTTCTTATATCCTTTAATCTTTTTTATGTAATATTTTCATTCCAAATTTTGTATTTATCTGCATTTTGAAATCTTATAGGTTTACATCTAGTATATGGAATAATTGGAATGCCCAATATTTCATATAAGCATCTTATAGGCCGGTAATTCACACTAAGCCTAGGTTTTATTTCCCTGAATAAAGTACTGTACATGTCAGAAGGTACTACACACTCAGGCTTAAGGCTCACTGCCCCCTTTTCATAGGTATCTGGTTCCCTGAATCGATCTCACTTCTCTGTCAACAGGCTATATGTAAATCTCTGACAAAGCTCCAGATCCTCAACATTAATGGGTGCACACCTGTGTCAGACATTGGTTTATCAGGCCACGGCCTTGGTCAAAATGATCCAAATGTAGCTGAAACAGGTCTCTCACTAGAAGCCCTTGGCATAAGGGAAAGAGGTAAGCAATTCAGATATTTTTGTCCACAAATTTATTAATCATTCACTTATAATGAAAATGTAAACAGTATAATTTGTAATTTGCATGGATGGGAGGGTGGTAGCAAATGAAACACAAGTGGACATTGGGACCTTACAGTCTCCTGAGGAATGTAAGGTTGAAACATAAACACGGGTCAGGAGTAAAATTTCCAGCGTCCACTTGTGTTTCTTCTGCTGCCACACTCCCAGATAGATATATGTTTTTTATTTATCAGTTCATCACAACAAAGAGAGTTACAGTGTTTATATATATTGTCTGTGGTGTAGCTGTACTATATGTTTTCCATTGTTATGGAGCAGCTTGTACTTGATAGGTCCTCAACTGTATTTCATGGACTTTATCTCGGCAGAATCTCCTTTAAGATTCCAGTTATTTTAAAAAATCAGATTTTAAATGCAATATTTGCAAGTCAGTTAGTAGCACAACAGCTAAACCATTTGATTGGGGAATATTCTATATTATTAACTGTCATTAAATCAATTTGGTAACTTAATATTTAGCTTGGTATCACATATCCATCCTTTTCATTCCGAGCAGAGTGGCAGTTGCAGACCCCTCACCAAGGTCTGAGCTCACCAGCTGTTGAAGAACCAGCAGTAGCACTTGAAACAGATGTGAAAGATGATGCATGTTAGTTGAGTGTTTAGCAAGTGAATAATAAATAGTATCATAATAATCCCTAAGTAGAATATGAGGTGGAAACTAATATTTATTTATATTTTTAGCTTATTCTGTAGTAAATTAATTTAGTCTATTTGTATGTTTCCTCGAATCATCCTGATTGCATAGGGTCTTCCTGTTCCCAGAGAAAGGCTAAATAGGGATTTTTTTAACAAAATAAAATTACCTCACAAAAGGAAAGAAAAGTCACCCAAGAAATCCAATTAAAGTTCAGTAATTTTTAAACACAAGTGATAAACCCCGATAGCCGGAATACTTAATGCAGAGCTCTTTCCAGGTAATGAGACAGCTGTCTCGAACCCAGAAAAATCCAACATCCTCATAATTTTTCTCGGAACTTTCCAGAATTGCTCATTATTTCATCCTCGGAATTTGCTCCAAGACCCAGAAAAAAAATTGGAGAAAGTTTCTGTAATTTTCCAGAATTTTGCACCATTTCATCGTCAGAATAATTTTATTGTAATTTTCCAGAAAATGTGCCTTGATTTTTTTAATTTGCTCCCAGACTCAGAAAAATTTTTTTTGAGAGATTTTCTGTAATTTTCTCGGAATTACTCAGAAAATGCCCCTGATTTTCAACCTCGGAACCTCATTCACAGACCTGGAATGGAGAGAATTTTCTCATAAAAATTCTGAGCCAATTTCAATTCTGGGTACGGTATTGGAAAGTTCTGATTAATAATAATAATTAACGGTTTATTGAAAAAATTCTGCAGCCCGAAGGCTGAAAATATACATTGGACATAAATGACTTATTACATACATTGGTGGTTTAACAAAAGCCTTCATTAGAGAAAGGTAAAGGAACATACAGTGAACATACAGATTAATGTAGGTGTTGAACAGCAAACTCGTAGTGTAGTAACTCCCTCCCAGATGGTGTTAGGAGGAACTCACGTGGTGTAGTAGTTCCCTCAGATGGTGTTATGAGGGACTAATGGAGCTATTACTGTAATTGTGATGGTACAGTATAATAAACACATCCTTAGCCACCTCATATACTGTACAATACAGTATTGTAATTATTTTATGCATTCCTGCTGTTATTACATGCTTTTTGTTTTTACCCCATGTGTATGGGGTCTCACAAAAATTCACAATCAGTAACAGAAACATGGCATTTTTATATAGATTGGATTCTTAATGTTCCAACAACAGTCACTTTCTGACCTCATAGTCACCTGAGGTTGACTTTGACCATCACTTATGACCCAAGGATCCCCTCCCTCCTGGGCCCCTCCCTCATCACACCACTGAGGCGTAGTAAGATGATAACTTTGACAATTCCTCTGTGTGTGAGAATTACGATATCAGTGGCAAGGCGATTGGCCACAACTGGCGGCTGGGCCTGCCTGGCCGATGTGAGTCATACTGTCATGATGTCGACATCATAGAGGAACCGTGTATACCTCACTGGGTAAAATTTATGTGGATTCGTGGTGCTCTTGTGGAATTTGGACATCTTAAGTTTCCACCTGTGTAGTGATGTGGCTTTAATTTGATATGCTGTGCTGCTTCATCTTCCATTTCTCCTTTAATTTTTAATGCACTGTATATGCTATTACTGCTTTACCTGGCAGTTGTTAAGACATTGAAATAAGATCTCAGCAACTTCATTTCTGTAAATGTGCATATTAATAACTTCTCCCACAACACTTACCCTGGGATGATGCTCTTCCCTCACAGGTTGGAGACTCAGTGTTTTGCATGCAACATGTGTTCTAGTTATTTTTAATGTACTGGCACCTCTTCTGGGTGTAGGAAAGGCTTCAAGCAAGTACCTGTATAACATCTTTACAGAAAAATATGTCAGGTTCCTTAGTTTCTGCTATAGATATTCCTATAGATCATAGTGAATTTACTTAATGTAACACCTAATGCACTGTATTTGATCAATGCTCTTACCCCTAGTACTGTACTGTACCTTACTGTACTGTACTGTATTGTATTACTAAACCAAAGACTTTTCCCCATATGAAGTGGACATATTTCTTGCCAATACTTCAAGGGTTACCTTAACATCACAGGTTTCCTGGAGTCTGGTTCCTCCTGTACCAACACTGGATAGACTAACTATCCGAACGACTAGTAAGATGATAAATGGTGAAAATAAAAAAAAGGGATTTTTTCTCCAATCTCATTTCTACTAGGATGTAAAGTGACCAGGCAGGCACTAATCTCCTGAATCTTAGCACTTACCATCTAGTGGGTTAGCTCATCATTATGGCAGGAAGCATTTTTGCCTATCATTGATATGCACGTGCAGCTAATAGTGTCTCCTCATTTTATTGCTGAGTGTCTAAAGAGGGAATCAGAGCCTTCACTCAGACCAAGATTTACACGCAGGGCCGTTTGTCTTTGTTGGGAACATTATATCAATGAGGTACAGTATGGAATACTTGGGTACAGTAATTTTGTTGGATTGCTTGTTTTATAACCTTTAGTAAACATAGCTTATCTATCTGTTGTTGGAGTGTAGATATTTGACGTGTACGTACAGCAATTTTATTGAGGATTTGGGAATGAGTTGATGGTCTTGAAGGGTTGGTGGGAAATGCTGTAATTATACAGCCACCACTTATCCATTTAATTTTTAACCCCTTCACTACAGGGATGCCACTTTTTATATTTTACTTGGCTAATGCCAGATGATTTTTATTCAGCACAGAGGGGGGACTCTTACACAAGGGATTAACATCTCTATATACAGATTTGGCCTTAATATTTTTCAGAATATTTGTCTTGACTTAATTCCCACACTTCAGAGAGCAGCCCCTTATTCTTCATCTCTATGACAGATCCATTCAAAGTGCAGCTTGGTTCGAGAGCAGAAAAAGTCCTCCGTCAAGAAGAAGAAGTAAAGAGATATTTGCTGAATAACGTTGAAGATATTGTTAAATCATCTGAATATGGTGTATGTAACTTGATAGGTGAGTTATTTACAAGGTAATCTGAATGATTTTCCCTTTTCTTTTTGACAGAGATTGATATTTGTTCCCTTAAACTTTTACTAAGAGTACATAGGATACTTATGAGTACAGTACAGTACTGGACAAAGACTCTGTGCCACTGTGTTGATGCTTCTCTTACAATGATGATATAGTATCCCAGTCTGTCCATCACTGGAGTCTCAAAGGTCAGCACATGGAGATATGAACACCTGGCTCTTGTAAACTGTTCCACTCATCCACATTATGCAGCAACAATTGATTTGTATAAGTTAATCATAATTTTAGTATATTTACATGCTGTGTCTGGTGGCATCAAAGACTATAAACCTTTTTCTGTTGATTTTTTAAAATTAAGATATCTCGACCTAACACAGTATCACCCAGGGATTAATATATCAGAGGCTTAAGTCATAAACAGTTAACACACATCCACAGACCAAGGGAACCTCTTGCGATATGGCCCTAAACCCCCTATCAGAGGCATCATACAGTATTTTACTTGTACTTGGCTTAAAATGTTTGTTTTTTCCTGTGTGTTTTGCAAATCATATGATAAAGAATGCATAGTATCCAGGGATTATTATACAGGATGTGGTCTCCGTAATGGTTGTGCTTCATCATCATCACAACTATTTTATGGCCATTTTCCACACTTGCTTAGGTTAGCGTCGTTGTGTGTGGTCAAAACATCTTATTTGAATGCCTTGATCATAGCCGAACATTTTCAAGCTGTATAGTTTTCAACTTTGTAATATTCATATTTGATAATTACTTCAGAAATTTTTATATGCTTAATTTTACTCAATGTAAATAAGTACTTTACCAGTTATTTTATTAAAGATAAGGAAGAGTGCTGCTGTAAACATTATCTTCTATTGTTGGACAGATGGAGAAAATGTGGAATGCATCTTGAATTCATTAAATCTAAGATACATTTTTCCTGTTTTTGTGAAATCAGGTTTGCGTGAGCTGAATCTTTGTGGTTGCAAAAAAATCACAAATGTCACATTGGTTCATGCTTTCAACTTCAGGGAATTACAGTACCTCAACCTCTCACACTGTTACTCGGTATGTATATAACTTTTAAGTATTTTTCTTATTTTTCAACTGTATGAATTTCACCTTTTAGTTGTTGTTTCTCTACGAATATTTCATAGGGTGTTTGATAACTGAGGTGCCAGGTAAAACACTCTGATTAACTTGTATATTTTAAGAAGTGTTTGTGTGATTTGTGAGTACGGTAGGTACTGTAGTTGTTGGGAGACAGCCATGTTTGGATCATCTCATACTACAGTACAGGGGGACCCCGACTTACGAACGCTCGCCAATATGAACGTGGTTAAACTTGAAATTTACAGTACAGTCAACCCTCACTTTACACGGTCCCACATTCCGCGTTTCCAGGTTTACACGGTGCCCTGCCAGAACCCAGGATGCTCACATTCCGCGGTGGGTGTACCCCTTTATGCGGGTGAAGTATAATTTTTTTATTTAGCTCATAAAATTCATACAAATTATCCGGCCAGAATATAATTTACATTGCTGGAATTCTTACAATTTGATGATCATTTTGAATATAAACATCATAGATTTTGCATTAGACATACAAATTTTAGATATAATGTTTACTCTGAGTAAATATGTTATCTTTTGTGCAAAATATATGACATTTATATTCAAAATATTCCTGGTCTTACAAGGAATCCAGCAATGTCAATTATATTATCCTAACTTTAGTTTGAGGTATTATTTATTACTATACCTGGTTTTCCCCCCAAAATTTCTTAGAGAGGGAAGAGCCAGCGAGTGTAGTGTGAGAAGAGGGGGAGGGAGTCGAGTCCATTATTTGAATGGACATTAACTTGGCGACTGTATTTCTCTATTTCTCTTAAGTATTAATTGTGTGCATGTACCATCATAAAATTAAGATGTTATTTTTACTAGAACATAGGTATTGTGTTGGAAAAAGTGGAGTTTGGGGGTCAGCTGGTCTCTATTTCATTTAATCCCATATGTTATGTTATTCACTTTACGCGTTTCTCACTTTCCGCGGTACCCTGTGGGTTACATTAACCGCGTAAAGTGAGGGTTGACTGTATTTTATTTACCTGATGCTTTATTTTTTTACTTTCATTTACTGTATTTTGTCATTTTATTTCTTCTTTTGTCTTAAATCAATTGATTTTAGATGTATATAAGGACTTAAGCTGCGATATAGTGGGATTTTAATTTTTTTTCTGTAAGTACCTTATGCACACATCATGTGTTCTGACTTAAGAACGTTCTCAGGAACGAAACCCATTCGTAACTGTACATAGTTTTTATGCATTTTTACTGAATAAATAAAATTGATCCTTTGCACCTCAAAAGAAAATTTTATTATGTGTTTCTAAGATGGAAAACATTATGATTTTGTTATTAAAAATATATATAAATAAATGCTTTTTCAGATAGGAGAGGCTGGTCTGGAAGCCATGGCCCGTCATTGTCCGAGCCTTGAAGTCTTGATGCTGGCAGAGTGTGGTCAAACTACGGACCAGGTTATATTAGTCATTGCTCACTACCTCAGACGTATCAAGACATTAGATTTACAGGTGTGGATATGTAATCACAGTATATACTTTCTGTTAATTGATCATTAGTTCACATACTATTATTTCTTGATGCAGAAGTGTTCGGCAGTTATTTGAAACAATAAAGTGCAAATATTTTTTATTATATAGGTGTGTGGATGGCATCAGACGTGTGTGGGGAAAATTTTACATTGGTCAAAAAACATGAAGAATATACAGTATAGTGTACAGATAACTAAATACTGCAATAGTTTTTGTACTAAAGGAAAAAGTGTATAGGATTGATGAAGTGAATTACTGACTTTTGATAAATAGGGCATTTAAATGTACAAGTGGAAAGTTAAGTAAGATAAACAAGTTACTGTATACATGATGACCCTTTGGTGTTAAACTTTGTCCAGTTCTCTGTAGTTGGCCAACTTTACCCTCACTCACTCTCTTTATAAACCGCTCTTTTAATATTTTATTTGGCTAATGCCATATGATTTTAACCAGCTTTCTAGGGGACCCAATGCACAATGGGGTAAACTTTATTATGGATCAGATGTCTGACTGACCTCCTATGCCAAATGGCTTCCGTTAATTTACTGACAGTCTGAGTAATCTGGAACAGTAGACCAACCCCCATTTGGTTGCTGAGGCTGATTTTGAGATTGCTCAGCCCTCCCTCTTGTACCTGTCCTCCCTAAAAAAGTTGGATTGGAAGTAAAGGTTGACTTTTAGAGGTAAAGGATGTAATTAGAGCTGTGTTTATTTAACTTGTATAGTGTAAATTTTTACTTATACCTTTTCTGAAATTCCATACTGTGCAGCTTCCTCCAGAAGAATCAAAATATCCAATTTCTTGTTTCTGGCCAGATCCTGTTATTGTACTTATTATAGGCAAGCTGATGTCCATGCTACGAGAGTACATGACACCCGCATACCATCTTGTTAGGTAGCCATCAATTTGGTTTGTTAGTCAAGTGTTACCAAGGATTGTTTGGCATTAGACAACACCATAGTTAAGCGTCTAAAACTGTAAGAAGAACTAAGCTGACAATAATAATAGATCAGGTGTTCAACAGCTCCTCTCTGTATAGTTGTGGAACTGGACCTTTTGTGTTGGTCCTTACAACATCTTGTTGCCAGTGTCAAACAGAAACAGATCAGAGCTAATATTTTTATGCTCAGCATCAAATAATCTTTTAACCCTTCCCCACATTAGGATACCTTATACAAAGTGTCTCCTTTTAGAATCTGGTACAGTATTAGGGTCAAGCTTATTCAAATTTTCAGATTTATTTAGTTTTTACGATCCTTGTCACATAACTTGGGGCTGCGGTGCCTAAGGATTCAACCTACTTGACTTGTTGGCAACACAGGATGCTTAGTTTTGATGTACCCTGTATGTTTATAAATTATCTCACACTTTTAGACATTCTGCCTCTAGCCTTAAAGTTCCCTGAAATAATGAATACCTGTACATGAGACTACAGTAATACCCGTTGTGACTCATATTCTCCACCCAGATGTGTGTCCAGCTGACAGATGATGCTCTGGACAGCCTCAGCAACTGCCACACCTTGCAATACCTAGATGTCAGTGGCTGTGACAGGATGAGTCTGGAGCAGGTGCGGTTTGTCCAAGGAAAAATACCAAGGCTTCTCAATTTTCACCACCGTGGAGTAAGAGAGAAGGGGCCAAGTGAGATGCATATGGAAGAGCTGCCTTCAAAATTCACTGTGCAGATTCCTCCTCCACCCCCTCTCTTCTCTAAACTCAAAAGGAAAGGAGCACGTAGATAGAAAATAGAATTTGAGCGCTGTTAAACCTAAACTAAAATCATCTATGATTGTACAGTATAGCTTAATTTATTTCCAGAGTTATATATTCTATGGCCAGTACAGTACTGTAATCTATTCTCACCTTTTTCAGTACTGCCTCTGATTTTATTTATTCATTTATTTATCAATTTTTTAAGGAAAGCACTGCCTTATTATATTGACATTGATAGATTAGACTGAACCAACATATTTAAGATTCTCATTTAATAATACAGTACAGTATACTGATTTTTCTTTTTATTAGAACTGAAATTTTACCCCTTAGACTGCTCCAGACCCTAAGTTTTGTGGTATTGTTTGAATGGGACTGCCATGTTTGAGCGGGATACCCATCTTTACACACATCACTGGAGTAGTTGCTGTGCAGTAGAAAGGTTTCAGTTACCGCTGGATGTCACATGGGACGGATGGTATATTTTGTTTTTGAATATGTGGAGTGTGGTAACAACTGTTGCATCTCTCCCACCCATCTTTTCACACGTGCTGCTTTCCCGCCCATTTAAGCGCCGATTTGAACCATGAAACGTGGTAAATATGGTTATGTTATTTTATGTCTTATTGATGAAAATTTTAATTGCTGTTGTTCACCTGATTCCAAATAATGGTAAAATAAAGGGTTCAAAGTGGGAAAAAAGTGCAATAAATGTTTCCCAGTGCTTCTCAGTGTATTTGTTTGTGTTTATAAGTGCTTGTATGTAACTACAGGTATCAGGTATTATTGTGATGTGTAAAGTAATTTCCCAGTTTTCTTTGTTGGTTTCTGTTTTTTTTTTATTACTAAAGTCCCCTCTTATGGCATCCCTAATCACTGTACAGTCCCCCAAAAAGTACATTATCGTTATATTTTCCATCGCTACAATTTGAAACTCTAGATGAATTACTTTGATATGATCCCCAGTGCATCATCATAAGTTGGTATGCCTGCTGGCTATATTCGTAACAACAGCTAGAGATGGGGGAGGGAGTCATCCTTGTATGGCACACTAGATACTCTAATTTAAAAAGAAATCCATTAAGCTGCATTAATGTATGTATCATGCTGGGTAGAATCAAGACATGTGTAAACAAACCACTGACTGATGATTACAATAACACTGGAATATTCATTATATGGAAATGCTTCAGAACATCATAATTGAGAATGGGACCTCAATACGGACATTTCACTATTACGTCGTTGTACTGACGGTGTTTCGTTCACACTAAGTTTCACAATATGCATGATCAAGTTGTTCATGATATGTCTTATTTATGAATAGTGACTAAGCAAATAGTACTGTACTTGATATTTGAGTGAACTGCTGTCTCAGTACTGTATTACATATACCCTCATTGTGATGTACAATGATAGCACCCCTTACTTTTTGCGATGTTTCCCGACAGTTCCTCACCGGCATGGTGTTGGTATCCATTTACAACATCCACTCCAAGTCATGTAATATATGCTCTGAGGCCTCAGAGGATTCACATCATTCAAAAATGTATATACTGTATTGTATACTCATTCATGCTCAAAGATTGCAGATGCAGTACAGTACAGTACTACCATCCGTTCAGAAACAGGTTGAGTAACATTGCTCGAAAAGCCTTGAATCACATCGACCCCGTGGCTAAAGATACTCTTTTGGGAGACTGTATATCAATTTGCTTAGTACCAAAAGAGTCCTGTTTTACCAGACTACAGCCTCTTTTTTTTTTTTCAGAATTTTCCCAAGACCTAATTTAATTCATTTATACAAACAGACCTAGAAAAATAAGATGCAGTCTAAGGGCTAAGCTTTCCACTTCACAGTTCTTGTCCATCAATTTTAATGAGGGATAATTTGCTTCACATATTCAAACCTTAAAGCTCTTGTGATATACTGTACCTCTAATTTAGTATTACCTGATGTTAACCTTTTTTCCATATAAATCCACATTGATTAGTCTCAGAAATTTTATAGAGTACCATAGCTGATAATTTCAGATATTTTCCACCATCATCATTCCAGGAAACAACAGTGCTTCACATACTCACTATTTATATATACTGTAAAGACTAAGAAATAAGAGCATCAGAGAAGAAATGTACCGATAACTTAAATGTAACTCATCTTCCTAGCAAGTCAGTGGCAAGCTTCCTTGAATAGTTTTATACATGGATTTCTTCAGTATAAACCAAAGTATTTTATTTTAACAACTATAATCACAAGAGCAGAAGATATGTTAAGCATCTTTAATGAATTGATGGTGATGTTACTCATGGTTTGGATTCCACAGTCTCAAAATAAGGTTTTTAAGAAAAAGTGAACATAATATAATCTGTTTGATTCTTCAGGTCAATAGGTGTGCTTGGATATTTTTCACATGATATATCTTTGGACCTTCCTGTAATCTATGTGGCAGCTGTTAGATGTATTTAGATGCTGATGAGCTAAATTTTATTGGTTGTAATCATCACCTGAACATAGATTATGATATTTTTACTGTATAAACTTTTAAGAGGTACTTCCAGAAACAAACGAATTTTACAATTTAACAGGTTCCTTGAAAGTTTTTATATTTAGGTTTTGGTTTCTTGTAAATATCGTTTATTTACTAATCTTATCATAGTTTTCCTGGTCAACTGATCCTTATCCTTGATCATATTCCTTGTTGTTCTCACTTGTTTTGAATATGAAGCCTTAAGATGCCTTGGCAACCTGAGATTCATTGTGGAAGTTTTGGCAGATGTTGAGCATGTGACAAGAAGATGAGTTGTGTTATGTGGAGCAGTGTTTTAATGCGGATAGAGTGGATGTTATGTCAATACAGTATTGCCCAAGGGAAGGATAGTGTCCACAGTGTAGATCGGCAAGATATGCTTTCAGTTCTCTGGGAGGGTTGTTACAGTACTTAAATGTGTATATTTGGTGCTGGTGGAGATGATTTCAGTATGCTGTTTGGAGAGAATCATTATACAGTATGGAGGATCATGTTAAGGTGTTATGTATGTGTTTTGGGTGAAATATCGTTTCATGTATGGGAATAATTATGTGCTGTTATGTATAGTTTAAAATTAAATTGCGGGAATGAGTTGGGTGTTGTGCTGTGAACTCTGCCCCTGATGTATATGGAGGTGTTTTTCAGAATGTAAGTGACTATTATTTATGATTTTAGTGCATTATCTATTTGTTCTTAATGATTTTATTTGAATTTTTGAGGGATGATGAAGATTTTATATATATATATATATATATATATATATATATATATATATATATATATATATATATATATATATATATATATATATATATATATATATATATATATATATATATATATATATATATATACACACCTATACTATAATATATATATATATAAATATATATATATGTTATATATATATAATATATATACAGTATATATATACTTACATGTATAACATATATATATATATATATACAATATATATATATATATATATATATATATATATATATTATAATATATATATATATATTATATTGATATATATATATATATATATATATATATATATATATATATATATATATATATATATATATATATATATATATATATATATATATATATATATATATATATATATATATATATACACACCTGGTACTATCAAGGACCCTTGACAAAAATTTGTCTGGAGGTTACCCTTGGTGAGAATGACATATACAGGTGCTCCTCTACTTAAGAACGTTCAACTTACAAACTTTCAGAGATACAAACATCATCACTGAGGGGGGTTACCTGCCAGAACCAGTGTTTAATGTGGATGAGACTGGATTATTTTGAAGAAAATTCCAGATAAAACAAACATTACCTAAGAGAAGAGTGAGCCAGGTTTTAAGGCTGTATTAAAGGTATAGCTGTACTAAATATCCATAATCTTTTCGTTTTTTACAATATGTTTGGTGTCTACAAGAGTAAAGTTGGACTTACAAACAATTGGACTTACAAACAAGCCTCAGGAACATAACTCGTTCGTAAGTAGAGGAGCACATGTACTTGGTTGTACTTAAGTTTTCCCGTTGATTTTAACTTAACTTAGTGTACTGACATTATAGAGGCTCCAGGGATCAGTTTATAATGCTTTGTACACATTAACCCATAGAGATTGTTTCACTTCACTAACCAGGGTTTGGGAGGGTATTATTGTGGTACAGTATACTGTAAGTTGGGCACCGCTAACCATGTCAGTGTCCTGGACTAAGTTACTAATCCTTCTCCTCTGGGGGGACGTTACCCTGAAAATTTGGGAAAATGGCATATAAATTACTTAACTTTTTTATTTTAATGTTGAAATAATATACTGGAATGTTTATCAAAGGAGCTCACACTGTTACTTCCTATGTGCGTTTGTTGTGATTATTCGCCACTGTGTGAAATATAAGAACAAATACAGTACTGTACATTACAATATTTATATTTGGCATTCAAAATGTGTATTCTCTGTATTGTAAGCTAGTGATATATTATTATTCTTGTCTGGTGTGATGTACAGTACCTATATTTAAAGAAGCAGTTATGTTAAAACTTCTGCTACAAATCAAGCTTTAACTTAGTATGATAAATAAAATAAATAAAATTACAGTACTTATATATTTTGGATACACTTAAAGGAAAGCAGTAAAAATTATGTCTTACTTGAAATTCTATTCATTATTTTATAAAAATTTCCTGTTAGTTGGTGTCTTCTACTGAATAAAACAAAAATATTAGCGATGACTAGTCGAGGACCTCTGAACAGCACAGTCTAGATCCTCATAGACTTACATGTTAAATATTTCAACATGACATATGTGATAAGAGGATCGATCTAGGTACATTTGAGTCTTCACGCAATTTTAATGAAATTACTTGCCATTTTTGTGCTGTTGCTTAAAGGACCCTGTTTTGTGTGTTCTGTCTCTCCAGGTACTGTAGAAGGGAAGTTTAACCCCTGGAACTTTGTGAATCTGGGCCCAGAGTGACCATATAGGTAGCTTCATGGATGCTGTAGTTAGTCTTTGATTTGAACAATGATGCAATTGAATAATTATGTGATTTTAAATACAGTAGTGCAGGTATAATTGAGAATAGCTACATGTATTTTCCAACTAATTGCTACATGCATTTATACTATGAAGGACTTTAATTTCAATATTAGCAAGGGTTGCTGATGTTGTCTGATACTACAAGACACCTGTATAGTCCTTCAGAACAGGGTGAAGGCTTTTAACATTTTATATATACAATACATAAAGACAGTAATACAGTATTTAAGTCTAAATTATCTCAGAACTATAAAAAGAATTATCTTAGCAGAAATTGGTCCGATTTGACTGATTTACTTCAAATACCTGGTATCTCTAAATTATGTTTGTTATTATGTATGTAATATGTGTATGTATGTGTGTGTGTGGGAGTTGATGTTTGTTTTGCCTTAAATGTCTTATATGGTATATCATCTTTCAATAGGCGGGTCAGATATACAGCATCACTAAGCCAGGAGGTGTGACTAGTTGTTGGAATTAACTCCTACCCTACAGAGATGCCTTTTTTAATATTTATGATAATATGGCTAGCACCAGAAGAGTATTTTCTGTCCAGAGGGGAACCCATACACACAAGATTAATGAAATCAGTTAAGGTGACTCTCCATTATACAGTGGCTTGGAAAGGGAGATTTGGAAGCAAAGCTTCAGTGTTCAAAATAGGTTTCTGAATAAGGACTTGATGTCACACTGATTCCTATATGGTATATCATCTTTCAATAGGCGGGTCAGATATACAGCATCACTAAGCCAGGAGGTGTGACTAGTTGTTGGAATTAACTCCTACCCTACAGAGATGCCTTTTTTAATATTTATGATAATATGGCTAGCACCAGAAGAGTATTTTCTGTCCAGAGGGGAACCCATACACACAAGATTAATGAAATCAGTTAAGGTGACTCTCCATTATACAGTGGCTTGGAAAGGGAGATTTGGAAGCAAAGCTTCAGTGTTCAAAATAGGTTTCTGAATAAGGACTTGATGTCACACTGATTATAATCCATTCTCAGGTCTAAGGTGAGGATGCCCGACTCCCGTATTACTGATTAGCTAGCACAATTCAGGAGAATACCTGTGTGGGCAAACTACAGCACTTACTTATTGGAGTAGCATTTTTTTCAGATTCAATAATTCATTCAGTAGAAACATTCAGTCCTCGTCTAAAATAAATTGTTCTGTTCACTCTTTTTACTGGCAGTAAAGATAAATACTACAGGATATCACTTGCATTTAGCACAGGAGGATGGTTCCTATACTTGAGTCCTGTTAAGGTTGTTTATTGCTACATTACACTATATGAAAATTGCTGTAATATTTCCGCAACAAGCTTCAGTCGTAGGATCTTTGGCTCACTGGTGATAATCTATTGGCCCATTAGTGGTAACAGGATGAAAGACTTCTGTACTCAAATATATATGGAGTTGGGATGTTTGTGAGGTCATAAGTCTTGTGCCCTGCTATGGTAATGTAAAAGTAGGGCAACTCTTTTTTTTGTCACATTTACAGTTTGAACATTTTATTACCTGTAACATCTCCCCTTTCTTGGTTGGCATTATATACTTAAATCCCTATATTGTGGCCAAGTCCTGAACAAGTGAATCTACAACCATCCCTCCTTTCACAAGTACTGTACTGTAGTGTTTGAGTCTGCCTGAATCACATAGGGGTTGCTGCCTGGAACACAAAGATAGCAAACTCAAACAGAAGGGTGACGTGTGTAGTAGTTAGTGCAATGTCATGTGCTTGTTCAGCTTCATACCCTAAATGGTGAAACATTTCTACCAACTCTCCCTTTCTAATATACAGTAGATAGTTGCAATGAGTAAAGCACTGTATATTAATGACTTAGATTTGTCCCTGTTACTAATGTTGGATCTCCAGTGTGGCCATTATGATATACTCAAGCTGCATTGTTCCATGTTCAAACACTGAATGGGATTTTAGGATCAATACTTAATTTTAAGATCATGGTGGGTGTATACTGTATAGTGTAGCCATTCAAAGAACAAATAAGCTTTTTACACCAAAGTAACATAACCACTGTAGTACTAACTAGTCTCATAGAAACTAATAAAACTTTAGATATATATTTGAAGAGCCTTTATCCAGTACACACCCAAGTAACTTACTGCACTCATAAGTAGAAAGTGAAACATTGAAGAGGTCTTGAATCTAAGGAAATTATAGTCGGGTTATATAGTAGCTGTGTAACATTCACAGTTCAATTGTCACATCTCCCTGTATCACAGTGCAATCATTTCCTGGCTTACTGCAGTTATTGTCTGAATTTGTATCATGTCTGGAGGTAAGAAAACACATAAATCTTCTTTATTTTTTAAGCTGTCACTGCATCTGTACAAGGATGTACTGTATTGATTTACACTACAGTATCTGTCAGGTAGGGGGGTCTGCCTTGCATAAAGGGGGACAAGAAGGGAGCAGTTACACCTCTTGCTTTGTCTTGTGAAAAAATTAAATATTCATCATACATATAATGAAAAATGAGTAAGGAAAGAGACAAATAAATAATCTGTTGGATAAATCTGTACAGTGGAGTGTTTGTTTCCATTGTTTTTAACTCTGGTATTTTGTCAACTTACCTTTCTGAAATATATCCTGTAGAAGCCTATGTTTCAGGTGGTCTGTTTATAAGTACAGTACAGTATGTAGAGTACAGTATTGTACTTCACACCTAAATTTATTAATAACAACATAAAATGAGACTAATGTAGAAACTTTTAAATCTGAATCTTTCACAATAAACATTCTCAAAGTGTCAGATTTATTTTTCAAATTTATTAAGGAT